GGAACGTGGCACCAGTGCTTGAAGACACTAACTTCTGGTCTGAGCCATGTTGGTAGATGCAGACTACCTGGTTGGTGTCCGCGTGACTATCGTAACCAATAGTTGGAGACTCTTGGCGACATAGCTCAGAATCGATCACAATGGCATCGGTGTATACACACTGTCTTCCTCACTTCATGTCTTTCTTTGTACGAACTAATTATTTCTTCGTGTAATATATCCCTATATGCAGTCTTTATATATTACCACCATTGAATCAACTACTTCTATGAATCCGTTGTTCATCTTGTTGTGCTAATGCGGTATGGCAACTTGGACCGATGCATATATGTGCCTGGTCCTACGTTGCAGCTGACTGACTGATATATATATATCACATGTTGCAGACAGTAATTACAGATGTTTTTAAAAAGCTAACTGATTTTTAATCACACTAAAATTTGATAACGAACGAGAAACATGATTTTGAACTCGCAGAACATTTTGTATCATTTCGATGATGAATGTCAACGATGGATTGGATCTAAAACCTTGACATCGAAAAGTTAATATTTCAGAGAACATTTTATATTGACTTATAAATAGGGAAAACTTAATACGTTTTAAAATTGCAACCACAAACAAACACTGAAAACGTTTGAGAACTGACAAACTTTCCTAGCTTATATAGAATTCCCCAAACCTCTTCTGATTTGGTTGCAGAAGAAGAGAAGCGTTGAAAATTTTGAGCGTCAGTGAAGTACCAATTGATTATCATCAAGCGGACTAAGATTAATTTGTTGTGTGCACACTTAGACAGTTGCTCAGTAAAATCTGAAAATCATAAAGTAAATGCATCAATTCTACAACTTCTTTGCGTTTCCTTACCCACTCCATTATTCCACTAATTATGTTATCATTTTGACTGCTTTCAAATTTCTTTTGTGTTCTTTTTATTTCAGTCTTGTGCTACCAAGCATTTAACTTCCGATCGCGGCTGTATACTACTTATATATGTCAGCAAAGAAGCATACACCACGATCAAGATCCAAAATTATAGACATATTTAACGAGATAACTGATACATCTCCTGATGCAATAAGCAACAGTTTTGTGATTGATGAAGAGGTCAACGAATTTTTTAGTACTATGGACTCTGGGTAATGTTCAAATGCTCTTTTATCAGATTCCTCTCATTCTAATTATCCAGTCACCTCAAGTGAATTTCAAAATCAATGTGATGCAGATGTTTCGAATGAATCGACTTCTGGTCAAATTTTTAATGCCGTCATATCAGATACTGACTATCGTAATGATTCATTGGTTTCTAATGAAGTCTTTAGCGAACTTGAGAAAATATTTTAAATAATTCAACTTCTGGGGATATCATAATAAATGTTGTTTGTTCTCACAATTCATTCGTTTCTCGTAAAAACCATAGTTAATATGAAGCATAAATCCTCAATGGGTTCAAATCTAATTAAAGTCCTATTGGACCCATAAAAAAAGTGGTTTATCCTCACAATCCATTCATGTCTAGTCAGTGTGAGAAAAATGATTCAAACGAGTCACATTCTAATCACATTTCAGATGTCATTGCAAAAGATGTTGGGTGCTCCCAAACCTCATATATGTTACATAAAATCCCTCTTCAATGACACGATAAATCAGTTGACATAACAACTGTATGCGAACAAGTCGAGAAACTAGAATGTCCAGGGGTCACAAAAAGATCTTTCAACCTCTGTATATACCCACATGCCCCAAACGCACACATGATGGAGGTGCTAGTAGTGATAAAACAGTTCAGGTTAAGAAGATCCAACACTGCTTCCGAGGGGGAGGGAGAATCACATATGCATTGAAAGGAGTGAGGTATATAAGTCAGAAGGTTAAATAGATTTTTTTTCAAATAAAGCTAAAAAAAACCCACTAGAAGTTGGAACACAACCACGTGATCAGCCAAGACCCAAGCAAGTATGAAAAGAATAACCCTTTATGAAACAGACTCTAGATAGAAAACGTACTTATTTACTTACGCCAGTTACTCCTTATGGAGGCGTACAGGACGCCCACCAGCATTCTGCACCCAACCCTTTCGTGGGCAATCGTTTCCGGATCTTTCCAGTTGTTATTCATTCTTACGTATTCCATTAAAAAAGAAGGGTAGGTTATATGACGCGATGAAAAGTCAAAATTAGATTCTTTTACTCATTGTAATTTTTGTTCAACAATTACTTCCGTTTTTTGATTCAATATAAAGATTATTCGGTGTAGGATTTGTTTCTGTTTACCAGTATATTTTTCGGTATAACATACGATATTCTTGTATTAAATTAACATGAACTATGCATAGCATGACATGCAGAATATGATTTAATTATGCGGTTCAATGATTATCTAAATAGGTGAATAATAAATATATCAATGAGTGTATTTTCGACTATGGTCATCGTTACGTTTTGAGGTTAATAAATCTTCACCTGTACCAATCTTTGTGTTCTCACATTAGGTCGTGGGAAATGCCGTGGTTCCTTGCATTACAAGTACAAGTTATGAGAAATCCTGACATAACAATTAGCGACGACCAGTCATAAAAATATAGTTACAACAGTCAACCATTGTCATAATACAATTATTGAGATATATATTGTCACATCACTATTCTATTCTGTTCTATTCTATATATCTATTCTATCAACATCACTTTGGACACAATAATATTTCGGGGTATTTCATTTATCTTGTTTCACGCACAACAGTCCATTCAACTGTACAAACTGTTCTCGATTCCATTATAACTCTAATATCATCTAAACACACATACACACCAAGCAACTGTCATCATAACCAAAATTGCATTTTTTTTCATTTTCAGACCAAAAAAAAACAATATTCAACACTCAAACAATAGTCATTAATTAATATTGAAAGACCAATTCACAATGTAGGCAACAAGAGAAAATAGACAAACTATTGAAAGGACTTCACATACATCTTGAACGTATCATGAATGCATTATTTTGTTGTTGAATATTTTCTGGTTAGTTGTGTGTGTGTGTGTGTGTGAGTTCCAGAATTACTTTCTATTTTCTTTCTCGTCGTTATGATCTATAGACTAATTAATTATTCTTTTATTTCAATATTTATTAGTCAATAAAATTTATTCATTCTCATATTTATATTTATGTATTATACCGTTTCAATAATTCAATATGAATTCATCATATCCCATGTGAATTTGTTTAAAATAAAATAGAATGTTTGTTTATAGTGTATATTTAATTGTAAATGTCAGAAATACGTAGCCTATTTTTTTCTATTGGTTTAATTTATTAATTTCTAATAGTTGCGAAGTAGTTATGCGTTGAAAATTGTACAAATTTGTGTGTGTGCGTGTGTTGGTTAGTTTTTTGTATATCTCTAAACATACTTCATTGTTGTAGTGTGTTCTGAGTTATCGTAGCTAAGGTATGGAACATTCTCGTCCCACTCTAGTATTTCATTTAAGAGTACGGTGTACATGACTGTAGAATGGTCACAAAGGAGTAGAATCGGGTACGGGTCAGCACTTCAATCCCGTAGAAAATAATCGTGTCAATTGAAAGATCAGTATCTAGGAGAGACATGACGACCCGTAATGAAAGTCGAGATGATTTCGAAGTTGTGAGACTGATATCCCTTTTAACAATTAGATCAACGATCAACATAGATACAGGAAATATCCAGACAATGCGGGAGACTAGGAGGACTAGTCGAATAACTGAGTAAATGAGGAATATAACCTGGTGGTGTACAGAATATGTGGAACCCATTGGGTTCAAGTTGGACAGAAAGGAATAGTTTCGGGAAAGGTGCTATCGAACCCTGGCCATGAAGAAATAAATGCTTCGAATTCACAAGTTGTCATACTGATGGTGTCCAAAAAAGTACGAAAAGCACGTATAGAATGGGAATCTCATGGACGTAGAATCAGAAATTCTTCGAAAAAAGGAGGGGACTACAATGAATGTTATGCGCCTACCAGAAGGTTGCAGTTGATCGTAGAGATGAGCTCAGAAATGGACCTGACCATATTGATGGAAAACCGAAACACCTAAGTCGGAATGTACAACATTGAGTATGATGATATCATGGGACGACGTGGAGTGGGAGAAAGGAGATTTGCAAATTTATGTGCTTTCAAAGAAATAGTTATAAGTGGCACCATATTCCCTCACAAACAGATATACTAAGTTACATTGGTTTCGCCGGATAGCACTACAGAACCCAATGTCATGAGGAATCCAAAATATTATCATCTGATACAGCCTAAAATTATAGGTCAATTGTATTCTGACTAGACGCTGGTAGATTACAAGACTGGATAGTGAACAGTATTCTGGCGTTTAAAACGATACAACTTTGGCTGAAGTTCAATGTTATGAAGATGAAACATGAATTCTGTGTTCCACTTTTAGCAGACATTGAAATGCTTATAGAAGTTCCCATGAAGCTAGTCATTGTCGTTAAACCTGCGTCTAATGTGTTTCACTGATTTCAAGCACCTCCAGGTTGTATGTCTTCATTTCTGCAACAATTCAGTTGACTTTCCCGGTCTCCCACATTGTACGAGCATTCCATGTACTTAAATTGATGGTTGCTCTAGTTGTCAGGGAAAGCATCAGCCAAGTAGCATCCAAAGGAACGCAGCTTTCACCATAAAGTGTCATAACTCTTCTAAATGAAGACCTTCTAACTCCTAGGGGAGAGTTTAAATGGTTTGAAATGCTAGATTTATATTATTTTATCGATAGATTTGTCAGTAAAAACAACCACATAAAATCAGTATAAAAAACTTTTCCTTAAAGGAATACATTTTTTAAGATGTATTTTACCTCAATATATTTCGTAAACAAATAATTGAAAAAATTTCAACAATTACACAACAGTTCACACATTCAACGCATCCTGAAAACTTCAACATAGAACTAATAAACATCAAAGCAAAATTCGTAGATGGACGGTAAATGCACATTTAATTTTAATTTCTTTAAAAAAAAACTTGTATTTACATCGAAATGTTGAGAGAGATCAATTTCATGCACTGATTAAATAAATCAAAAGAAAATAGTTGATTATAAAACAAAATAAAACTTTAAAGAGAATCTCATTACTACTGATGATGATAATAACAGTAGTCACTGGATTTGTACACACAAAAAAATAAGTAACAGCATTAACTACATTTGACTTCTTTGTTATTCTGTGATGATTTAATTGGTGGATCCCATTTTAATCGATTGATATCCAATACAAAAGAGTTTTTATGCATCAATTTCCGATTTTTTCGTTGTTCTTTACCATCTGCAGGAAAGGCTTTCATAGAATGTTCATCATTTAGTTGATTTAAATATTGTTGTATAGTATCACGATGTAGGCATATCTGATGACCATGTTGCCAATTATTAATAATTGGATGATATTGTAATGTCCAAATAATATCATCAATGGCAATACATGTTTTTGTACTAAAATATAAAATGAACATTTGAAATAAGAAATGATAGAAAATGTTTACATAAAGAAAGTTTGTGACTTCAGTGGTATTACTTTGTATTTTAACAAAGACTGGTTTCATTTATGGTAACATATCATTGAAGACTATAGAGTATTGGTTAGCTGTTTTATGAGAATGATTCGCAATAAAATATAACAAATTCACATGTCAGAGACTTGAATATGAGTCACAATTCAAGTGTGGGAGCTAATGATACTAACCGTTTAACTAAACCAAAATAGGTCTAGTGAGATTGGATCAAAAAGAGATTAACAATAAAAACTAGGTGTTATTCATTAAACAACTGTTTCGTCTTAGTATGAGGGCGATCCTTGGTGGAACCTTGGGTGTGCACACTCCAGAAATCTAACTAACTACGCTTAGAAGCTGAAATCATTAGATTGTGACGCGATAATCTAAAGATTATCTCTTCGCCGCCATACCTAGGGAAGATCTCTGATCGAATACCACTGCTGGAGAGTATGAGACTAGAATGGAACAGCTCCTAAGTGCTTCCTTATATTCTCTCAACTGTTCATCAAATGAAACCGGTTCGTGTTGTGCGAACAATCTGAAAAGTTTAGTTAGTTAATATTTGTTTCTAGCTCATAACACGTGTACAGAGAAAAGTTATTTAGTCTGCAAGTATATTGACGCGAGTTTGAATCCCATAAGGAACACTATTTCTCTTAAGATTTCACGTAATTCATGCTGACAAGTGCCAACTAGCACGAAACTTAGATCCATGGTTTCCCATTAACTAACTCTATCAAAACACATAGTTGGCTTAATGAAACAAGAGAGGACAGAAACTCCATAATTACATGCTCAAATCCGAATATTTTGGTTGGTTCATTTTCATCAGTGCTGGTGGATAAGGTAAATCAAGATCATAGAAGATTCTTCTGTGAATACTATGTAAAACCCATACTTTTATTACCGAACGTCCTGTGGTTTCGGTTGTTCCCTTGTTTGCTTCTGATTTGGATCAAGTGAATGTAATGGATAAAAAGTACTGTCTATTTATTTGGGCAAAGCACAACCACTTTTAAACATTTGTAAACTTACCTTAATTCATTCATTGTACAATTAGGATTTTCTAATAGAAAATTTAATATCACCTTTTCCCAATAACTACGATAACTTAAACGACCTAAATCGGAGAGAGGTTTCTCTGGTGTACCAACAATCTGTTCAATTTTAGCTAATTCATAACCTGAACAAAAGCAAAACAAATAGATATGATTAAATTAAGTGTATAAAATTGTGTACAACTTAGCTACTACCTTAACGTAGTGATCAGGCTTGCTGAACGTGATGAATCAACTGAACTATATTGGCTGGAACACATGCTTCTTTAGGTCCTACCATGCCAGACAGGTGAATCGGAGAAGGGTAGAAGTGAAAGCAGCAAATTAAGGTTTGAGGGTGAAGTCATATTGTATACTGTAAAGCGATGTGACAACAGTAAGGTGTTTTTCTCGGATAATCAGCAGCTGCAGCAAAGTGAAAAACGTCCTTATACCTCTGGGAGCACCCGAGATCATGTTCACAACCAATTCTGATTGTATATCTTTATCATCACGCGCCACCAATGCTAATGATCAGAGTTCACGAAATACTATTTTTGATATCCGGAAACAACATTCTACACTGCATATTGGAACTTTGAATGGTCAAACCTTGTATCACATAGGACAACAGGCTTCTTAAGCTAACAAACTAAAATCTCGCACCATGAATGAGTTTTGTCTCCAGAACATGCATGCAGGATCCAAGTATTGTCATTTACTTGATCTCACCTTGCCAATCTAAAGAACCGGCACGATTTACATTTGTGTATCTGGAGTCCTTACTGTTCATTCCCGTGACCTTGTCGGTATATGTACAGCATTAAGTTTGGAAGCACAACAGGCTCTCCTAGAATGTATGCTAATAAACAGTCGTTTTTGTGCTGCCCAACTAAACTGGACAGTAAGCACTCAAAAAGATAGGGACACGTACCGTTGTCTTTTCATTGTCTCTGCCTACGCTCACACTGATTTGGATGAATTTTATAAGAAGCTATCCAGCCTCCTTCAAAAAGCAAAACACTGATGTAGTTGAATGTAACTGAATGTGAATATTGTGGATTGAAAATTTCAATACTTTATAGTTCTGACAAAAAAATATTTTGCAGAAACTATTTATAATTTGTTAATAAAGTCTGCATATTATCGAGTCAGACAACTTTAAACAATGGAAGGATGATAACTATGGTTTCAATTACTCATTAGCCACTCATTATCATAAGGATTTCCTGTCTAAAAGTGTCATTGTAAAAAATATGTTGGTATCAAGGATATATATATATATATATATATATATATATATATATATATATATATATATATATATGCATGGGTACAAACAGCCAAATACATAAACAAGGCACGAACTAGTACAAATATCTATAGGTCTAAATCGTTACAAGTTATGCAGGCACATAAACAGAAAATCGACAAACAAAACTGAAAAACGAAAAACATTAGTATAATAAAACAGTAAGAAGCTATTTAAAAAAGAAACATCGAATGAATGAAGTCGAAGAATGAAAAGTATGGCATAGGATTCTGATCAAGAAATAAATCCGGAATACAAATGTATTGCCACTGTCACAGATTTCAGGTCATATGTAGGTTCAAACTTCTTGAGTGCGATGCTGCACGATTCTTGTAATCAATGGTTGACAACGTTGAGTGAGATGGCTCACGATCGATCCAAATGGCATAGATCCAGTCACTTTTTTTAGAGCTCGAGTTTAAAATTTCCCTATTGTTAAGTGAACTTATTGTTTTCTCTCAAATCGAATTTTCCATGTCTAATATCTTCTTTACCGTCATCGATGCTGTTAATATTTCTAATACTTTGACATTTTTCTTGATAATTGCATTTTTTTATAGTGATATAGTGTGGCGAATTGAACTGATGCATATGTGACAGGTTCTATATTATGTATGACTGAATGACTGGTTAACTTACATAACACAAGGTCATAACAACACTTCGCTTGCACATCCAATCACAAATCATTTCAACAGTTAATTATTTCATTCATTGATGAGATGTCCTGACTGTTAACCTCCTCTACGCACGTACACATTTTGTATTCTTGCAACCTAACCTTTATTTAAGCTAACAAAGCACAATTAGTGAATTTAGGTTGCACCTAGACATAATTCATTCAAAATTACACACATTGAATGTCTTCACAAGCGAAGTTATTTAATTATGCTAAAAAAGATGCATAACAATCACAATGTATAAATATAAGAGAGACTCACTGAGACTAATTAAGAAATGACCATATCCACGACGTTGAAATGGTGGTAAAGTTAGGATACATGCAAGATTATAATTATCAGCAGATACTTTTTCCTGAAAAAAAAGTTGGAAAAAGAACATATTTTAGAAAGGAAAAACGAGGTAGGATTCGATTAATATTTCAACCTAAAGAGCGGAAATTGGTCGATTGATATGTAACATATCTGATTTTTTGTGTCCCATAGAATGCTCTTAAGACATGACATGCAAATATTATGTTATCAATTTATTTGCCAGATACAGAATTATGTACTTGGTTTTAAACTGCATTCTAAGTGTAAGGGACAGTGATCGTACCCAAATGATCAAATAGAAATAAGTAGAGGGTCCTTCAAGTATGCATCTTAGTGGATAAACATTGAACGCATCAACTACTGAGTCACCGTGCCAAACATAACTACTAAAACAAACAATATTAATGACTTTCAAATACTTGAATTTCACCACTTAATTTTAGTGAAATCACAAAATAAATAAAAAATTACAATTAAATGTACATTCATCATAAATTAAATAAACAGTGTGATAGAAATCGGCTACTAGGTATGTAGCACACATCAGAAAAAGAAATTATATTTGAACTAATCTCAGCAATTGAAATTTAAATAATTATAAAGTTTCACCTGAGCAAATGACCTGAACTTCAGTGAAATAATCAAAATCAGAACTACTCGAGAATAATGTTAAAAGCAAGTCTACACTAAACATTTGGCCTGTTATGTTCAAATGTTTATTTTGCGAACAGTATTAGCTCGAAATTCATAAGGGCTCTACGTATACGTTCTCTCAGTAATATCCTTAAAGCTGTGACGGCTATTTTGACTGACGAAACTGAATTACTAAATAAATCTAGGAAAAAAGCAGGTTGGTGTAAACAATGTAGACTTATAGCACAGTGATTGCGCCAGTTGTAATTTTTCTTTGATAATTTTGATTTTCATCATTTCTTAAAAGAAGTCCAGATCAGTTTCTTGGGTGCAAACAATGGAATTTCAGTTGGTAGGATCATTTTAAATATATATTCTACATCGAAAATTAAGTTCAGTTAAGCAACACAAGCAAACTGAACTAAGTGAATCACGTGCAAAATTATACTTAAAGGTTACCCTTGGAGCCGACGTTGAACAGTATGTCAATGCAAAAGCAATCATGACCTCCACAAAACTTAGTAATTTTTTGTACAAGAAAAGTCGATGTGATAACAAAAACATGGTTGCAGTTCTTAGATCAATACACAATTAACTGTTCCAGCTACAATCTTTGTCTTTCTATTGGTCAATGTACAAATACACATAATCTTCAGATATTGTGATCACAAAACACATTCAGACGATTAAGTAAAGATTTATTTGTTTAGATTTTCAGATTTAGTTAACTTTGGTGATATGACGCGATCACTACTCACTGTTATCAGATTGCTAATACCTCACACTTTGAACACCAAACCGTAAGTGGTACCTTAATGTGGTGGTTGAGCTTTCCCACCGTGATAACTTCATGGAGCTATATTGACCATAGCAATTTTTTCTTCATATCCTACCATCCCAAGACGGTTGGTTGGAGGGCGATAAGACTAAAAGAAACGAAACTTACGGTCCAAGGGTGGAACGGTAGTGCTGATTGTACAAGGATGTGATGCTAGTAAGATATTTCCTTCAGACAACCAGTATCTGCAGTAATGCTGCCTCCCCAAAGAGGAAGAAGAGTGGTAGGAATGATCAACCCTAAAAATAGCGTACCACATCTCCCTCTATGGACAGCCAACACGTACTCCATCATTATTATGTTTTATATTTAAAACGCCAACCAGTGGGTAAGAATTTGATTTCTTTTATCATGAAGAATGAGAACGGCAAGATGAATACCAATTACCTTGGAAAAATAACCAACAAGATGTACTCCATCATTGTCTATCTCACATAGAACATAGAATATAAATGGTGAGACATTATAATAAAGTGTTTTATGATCTAAAAACAATTTGGCCAACAGACATAGATTTTGACAGTAAAGCTGTAAAAATAAAAATAAAATAATAAAAGCAGAAAAGGATAACGTCATTTCTTTTATCAACAGTGAAGATTTAAAAAAATTTGCAACTTCATAAGATTCGGGATAAATTGAAGAAGAAACAAGACAAACATTCAATGTATTTATATTGTAACTTATGAGGTACTATTTAGTTCCTAAAGCAAGCACAGTATCCATTTCGTATCAAAGGTGCAACCACACGATCAAACGACGTGTCAGGTCCTGTAAGCCGAAACACAAGACTTATCTATAAAGACGGTAATAACATTGAGAAATAACACGAAATATAGTACAAATCAAAACTTGTTAGGCATCTACAGCGTTTGCCGAGTTCGTGTACAATTAGAAAACGGTGCCTCCTAAAATTGATATATGGTTATGTATGATAACATACGATTCAGTCAGTCAGCTACAACATAGGACCAGGCACATATATGCATCGGTCCAAGTTGCCATACCGCATTAGCACAACAAGATGAACACCGGATTCATAGAAGTAGTTGATTCAATGGTGGTAATATATAAAGACTGCATATAGGGATATATTACACGAAGAAATAATTAGTTCGTACAAAGAAAGATATGAAGCGAGGAAGAGAGTGTGTATACACCGATGCCATTGTGATCGATTCTGAGCTATCTCACCAAGAGTCTCCAACCATTGGTTTACGATAGTCACGCGGACACCAACCAGGTAGTCTGCATCTACCAACATGGCTCAGACCAGAAGTTAGTGTCTTCAAGCACTGGTGCCACGTTCCAGTTTGGCCGCCCCTAACTTTCTTCCAATTATCCCTAACACCAGTGAGCATTGCGCATCGTGTTAATCGGTGTATAGGCAAACGCAACACGTGGCCCAACCATCTCAGTCGACGAAAATTCACAACCTCATCAATTGATTTAAAATCATTCCCTAATACCCTGCATCTAACTTCACTATTACTTACCCGTTGATCCCAGCAGATACCAGCAATATTTCTAAGGCATCTGTGGTCAAATACTAGTAACTTACGAGTATCTTCTACTCTTGAAGGCCATGTTTCGCAGCCGTATAGTAGAACGGAACGAACTGCCGCGCAGTATACTCGACCCTTAATTGATAGGCGGATATCTCGCCTTCGCCATAGATGACGTAAGTTGGCGAAAGTCAAACGAGCTTTTCGAATCCGTGCTGAGATTTCGTCAGACACCAACCCATTAGGGCTGATCAGACTTCCAAGATAAGTGAAGTTGTCAAAGCGTTCGACTACTTCACTCCCTATCCTTAGTTCAGGTGTTGACGCAGGCCAGTCCTGAAGCAACAATTTGCATTTAGAGTGGGAAAAGCGCATTTCAAACATTCTGGCATTGTTGCTCAGTGCCACCAAAAGACTGCATTTTGTCAGCGTCTTCACTAAACAGGACTGTCATCTGCATATTCTAAGTCGATAAGTGGATTTCCTGGAAAGAGATAAATACCCGAGAATTCAGTCGACGAGAGCGTTATTTCCATCAGTAGGTCTATGATGAAGTTAAACAAAAATGGAGAAAGTGCACAGCCTTGACGGACACGATTATATATGTGACAGCTAATAGCTGTGTCAATAATATAATGGGAGATGTCAAAAGAACAATGGAGAACATCAAAATGTAGAGACTGTTATAATAAAATAAACATTGATCAGATACACTGTAATTGAAAATATTTATTCCAGGTATTAAGAAGGTGTGATTATAATAATAAATAAGCTGAATATCATGAGCTTATATCTAAACTTAAAAATAGGATATGATAACAAATATACGTCAAACTACGTGTTCAAAAGTTGCTAAGGATGAAACGCGTTACTGAAAATTAATAAGTAGTACAGCATATTACAAAAAAGCAAAAGAAATCAGAAAACAAGGACAATGAAAATGAACTAAACATACGTGTCTGAGCTTTTGTTGTTGCTGAGGTCTCTGAACTAGATGATTTAATTATTTAGAGAGAGTTCACTATCATATTGGACAATATCATCAATCGCTACTTCAAGTCGAAGGCCCTGGTGGTGTTGACCAGAATGACAATGAATGGCAAATCTGTAGTTGTAGTTTTACACAAAAGCCTTCAAGGGCGTATGCTAAAGTTTATTGAAACCTTGGCTATACGGAAACTGAAACCCCCTTTATGTGTTCAAAAACAATTCGGTCTTACCCTGAACCTACCCTGGTAATATTGATTTATTATCCAGCGTGATTCTCACATTGTTTTTATGTACTTTATTACTATCTTTGTTTCCACTTACCTTTTAATGGTCTATTATTTTTCATATAAAATATCTTAACATGAGACACCATGTTGATACCATGATTCAGTTAACGGTAGGATAATTACATAGATTTTTTTCATAGATGAAACTTTATCCAGTTTAGGGATGAAATTCCTGCTATGATATCGTGAATGTAATCATTTATAAATCAATGATAAATAGTATTACAGATCACAGCATCAACACTAGTGGTTTGGTTGATCCAACGTGACTAAAGACATGATAAGTTATATCCGTAAAAAACTCACAATCACATAGAGGAAAGATGGATGATGAAATTACTAAGAAACCGATTAACCAAATTGAGTTTTAACATAACTTTCGGATAGTTATCTTTAGATAAAAAAATTTGTTCACTGGTTTCAACAAGCGACCTTATTGATAATAACTCCTATAGAATCCTATGGTTCACCGAGAGTAATGCCGAGGTTAGACATATTTTCAGCACACTCAGCCATAAATCCCGCCTACACATTTATGCTTAGATGGCTACAATCCTTGGGTTAAGTTGAGTTATTAAAACCAATTAATTACTTGATAAAAGCAACGCAACCAATTACCATATTAAGATATTTGAAAGAAAGAGATACTCTACGCTACGAAAATATAAGAACTGCCACAAACAGTGGATGCGGCATGTTCTGAAGCGTGTTCAAAGTTAGCAACAACTGTCGAATTTTCAATAAATACGATTGATAGATAGGTTCAAAACCTGGATAAAAGTTGGTGTGCAAGTTCACATAGCTTCGAAGCGGTCTTTGTGTATAGTGAAACAATCAAATAAATAACTCCGAGATTAAGTATAAGTTAAGTACGAATTACAAATGACAGTTACGGGCTTGGCCAATGGAACTTGGGGTACAGTAGTATAAATCGTAACCAATCGAAAACAATAAAACCACATTTATCAACAATAACGAAACATAATGTATACCTTTTGTACGTTGCCATCTAATTCAAAAACGCATAGATTTCCATGATTGTATATTTCTTTACCAGGAGGTCGTTTTGCTTTACAATCATATTTTATATGGTTTAACCATGTCTCTGAATACTTCATATATTTTAAACAATATTCACATATCCATAACTTTTTCACTTGTCTAAATTCTTCGGGATAAGGTGAAAAATACCATGTGTCAATTTCGTACTTGCCAAACTGTATCTGATCAATAAATTTCACTCGAGTAAACTGACAAGTAAAGTTTAAACACAGAATAATTAAAATGAGAAATAAAAATTTTACACGGACGCGATATAAGCCAAAACAGTATAATTGAGCTATCAGCTGACAGGTTCAACAATATCAACATAACTCGCACTTATACAGACTTCTTTGAAATAATTGATTTGCATGGAAGCTGGGTTTCGCAGCTGTCTCGCAATATAATGTGAACTACTATGAAGTCTACTCACTTGTCGGTTGACAGACAGATTTTACCTGAGGCACTTGTGTCACAGACGGAAAACATCGAAATGATTTTCAGTGTGCGCGACGAGATCTAGCCATTCAATAATTCACAATAGGGATAAGGATTTAAGGATGTGCTGTGTAGTTAACATGATAGACTACTCCACTCAGTATAGTCAAAGTTAAGTATTGATCTTACATTCAGTGGGAAATAAGAGTATATTAAAGCCTGTTAACTAATTATAATTAGTACATAAGCAAGAAAGATTCTATTCCAAAAACAAAAGAAAGGTAAATACTAAACGCACATTTTCATGGTCAGATCATAAAATTTATTCTGTTTATTATTTATTCATTTAAACAAATAAACATTTTACAAGGAGGCACCAAACAGATATGCGCCACATAAATCATTTGATTTGTGTGAGGACTAGGTAACTGCCCGGGTGACCAAGCCGAAGCAGGTGGTTTACTTAGAGGGCCACATCCCAAACCATTGACCAGAAGGTCTAACCCACAAGAGTGGAGCGATGTCAGGAGATGCAGTCCCATGGTAGCCGGTGACCAACAATTGCTTCATACTCCGTTTGTCTCCTTAGGATCCTGGAATCCATGTGCATCATTGGAATCAGGGTTTTCCTACTCTCCTAGGTGAATCCTCCATATCCACTGACCCGGTTAAGGCGCCGGACATTCGCTTTTCGTCCTCTTAATTTCGTAGACAACGTTCCCGTCGGGAGAAGGCGGTGAGTAGAATTTCCCTGGCAGTGGCTGTATGCACGTGACCATGTGAGAGCATTTAGAGAGGGAGAGATGATTCTCCCCACACTTGGCCGTACCAGGGCAGAAAACAGATAAGAACTTTTGAGGTTTGATATTCCGAGTTAATATATTAGACACTATATTAACTAACACAATTCCTCTGTGTTCATCACAAAAGTACTTTTACCATTCTATTTAGACTGGGACGATCAGCGACTGTGATCATTCTAGATTCCAAGGGATTACTCTACACCGAAACATATGGTCAACATTTGATATCTACCTGTTTCGCCGCCTATTCCAGTTATTTGTCAGGTACATCGAAAAATGAATAGTAGACTATTTATCAGTAAACTCGTTGATAATGTAAGGAACCCATGGTAGTTTGTTTTTAAAGGTCAAGAAGACATCAAAAAATTTGACTAAGGAAACTTTCAGACACACAATAGTCATTAGTTGCTTACATCGTGAAAACTGATATTTTGTCTAAAGTGCCTAAAGAACAGTTGAATTAGTTTTAAAATGATATCAGCTTGCTGACGATCACATACAGCCTTTTACATGATCACCTGCAAGTTCTATCTGCTCTACATCTGGAACTATCAAACTAAGTTAACTGAAAAAAATAATGAGATAGAGAAGGGAAAATTCGTTTGGCAGTTGCAAGTTAGTGTACTTGACTTCAAGTCACATTCTGTGAGGGTTAGTGATACCAACTAAGCCAAAGCAAGTGAAACGGGATTCGGACCAACAGCTTTGTGGCTCGAAATTGAACGCCTTAACGACCAACCTACCATTTCATTTTAGAGAGAACTAGTTAGAATAAATCCTATTAGTCTAGAACGTGACAACATTGATTTAATGGATGTTATCCCTGTTATTTTCCCACATTTTACAAATGTATTACTAAAACCATTTTCAGTATAGCTATTCCTGCAGAATAAAACAATATTTTGTGCTAAAACCTCATTGTAAAAGAAGCAAACTCAATGACAAAACAAAAGTGAAGCGCGATTAGCAGTTACGCGAATGAACTTTTCCAAAAAAACCTTACTTCTTGATATTCAAGCTCCAACTTTTGCGTACTAGAATCTAAAGAGTCACTTTCCTGTGAATAAGAAAAATATATATATGATAACAACCAACCCAAAAAGTATGTGACAACAAACACATTAAATGAAGTAAATAACATGAAAAAAAAGAAAGAAATCCCACACACAAACAGGCATGCAAAACATCTGTGGAGTGAAAATCGAATCATCTCATTGATCATTCAATCATGACCAACTGATAGCCTAACGCAAATGTGCGCTGGGTGAATTCGATACACTACATCAGCAAGGTACGAATGAACTAATAACATGAATAAGAAAAGGATAGAAATGATGTAACAACAATGATGATAACAAACACTGAGAACATGATACGAGAAGGCATATGTGAAGGGACAGTTGAACTAAAAATCTAGCGCAGGACAGAGAGTAAATGAACTTATGGTATTGTGACTGATCCTGAGGTATATCATCGAACCTGAACTCCTGACTACGGACCCCATACAGGTAGTATCTACCGACACCATTTAGGCCAACAGTTATTATTTTCACGGACTGGTACCACGTTTTGATTTACCCGTTCCTAGCTTTCTTCAAACCTACTACTAGGTCGGCTAAAAACGACGATTGAGCGTAACACGAATCCCAACCACCTCAGTTGATGAAGATTCATAACTTCACTGACTGAGTTGCCATTTTTCCCTTCTACGCTATGGCTAACTTCATTCTTTACATGGCTGTTATGTAAACTAATAATTTACTACTTACTTGAAGAACTTTGGAAGTTTCTTCTAACTTGCGTTTCTGATTTCTGGTGAATCGGACATCACGCCCAGTAGAATCTGTTAACTGGTTAAGAGACGACTCGCACGGGATTTTAAGCTTTGCAGAACAGTCAATTCGTTCAGATGTAACCCATTCATCTAATCTACGGTCGTCTGGATAAATGTAATAATTAAACAAGTAAAACAACATACGATTGCAATAATGAACATAATATTCCTTATTCCCATTACCATCTATACGCCCTTCAATAACAGCGGCAGGATCTATATGTCAAGAGGAAATAAGTTTCAAAATACTATGGACATTACAGTATTGACCAGAAGATCGTAAAACTTTATACACTTCTCCAATTTGTATATCTGGATCAAGTGTAGACACTTTTAAATCAATATCATCAGTCGGATTATGAACCATCCTTTTTTACCTAAAACGTTGAAACCCAATAGACTTGGTTACATAAATACTTTTGCCTGCAAACAAATATTTCAGTTAGAGAAGAAATATGACGAAAGACTTGTATTTATGGATATAGTAGATAGGACTAAAACGTTTCAAACCAGAACCAACATAATCCTTCTAAAACAAAAGAACAGCATTTCCAACTTTGCATGATCCAGGCACGAAAGTCAGCTAAACATGATTTTTCGAAACAATCTTTGCTTATACATACCACTATTAATTTACTTGTTTACCTACAAATACATAAATAAATGGTAATGAACAAAATAAACTGAGTTAATTTCGAGCCTAAAAGCCCTTATCATTTTTTGTATTGGATGTGAATGACTTAAAAAGTTATTACATGAGGATAATCATGCTGTTAGACGATATTTACATCTTACATCTTAAACGTGCTGTAAGTTTTTTTCAACGTATACAAATTATCTAGAACTTGACTATGAGTGGCAGAGTAAATGTTTCAAGAAGCTTGTACTTTGTACGGATAGAAGCGGCCTGGACATGTTATACGAATGTCGTCCCAGAGAATTCCACGTCGTGCATTATTTGCCGACGATGGGACTGGTTGGAAAAAGCGGAGAGATGGTCAGTGTTTGACATGGTGTCGGGGTATGAAAGATGCAAAGGACTGGCTTCTGTTAAACCTTCAAAACTCCCTGGCTGGAGTCCGAGAGATGGTGCGACACAGTGGCTAGAGACCTTATCAGATATGGCTCAGAATAGAAGCCAGTGGCAATACTGCTGTAACCTTTCACTTTCTTCATAGAAAGTGGTTGTATCTTCCTTATCTGAAACAATTCTACTGGTTGTATCTTTCCGTTTACCCATTATTATTATTATTACTAAACTACCTTAGACTAATCTGTGGTCGTTATTGTTCTTCTTTCTTTCCTTTTACGCTCCTTATCTTCTTTTATCTCTTCCCATTCTCATTGTTTTGCGGCGCATAAATGTTTAGTGCCCCCTTGTATCAATATTTATGTTCTTGAGATTTAATTGAACATCAGTTCATCAGGACTGATGAGGATCCCAAGATAAGTGAGGCGAGCGATGCGTTCGATTACTTTGTTCCCTATTATTGTTACAGGCACTGACGCAAACCAATCCCGAAGTGCATTTGCACTTGGGGGGATAATATCTTAAACATTCTTGTCTTGTAAGCAACAATTGTCAGAAGACTGAATTTATCAGCGTCTTCACTAAACAGAACGATATCATCAAGGCATTTCATGTCAAAATGTTGGTCTCCAGGTTGACTAAACCCTCAAAAGTTAGACGATAAGTGATTTAGCAGGAAGCTAATAAGCGTTCCCTCACATTATTAATGTCTTGCCACGAAATAGTTAGATGGTTCTAAAATATAGTAATCTCGATGAACGTGTGGAATTTGACTAGTCACTTCAGCGACAATTCGGGTTTGGCGTAAGGTCTTGGGTTTATATCAGGCTACCTAGTTATTTGTAAAGTAAATGGCAGTAATTCTTGTTGATGGTGGCCAGGTATGCAGCACACAAGTATAGCAACAAGATCAAGTGTGCATACTTCATTTACATGCATGTTTACTTCTGTAGCCAAACATAAGGGGAAACGGGTAATTGTTTGCAATACTGAATAACCATATGCACCAATAGTTTTCGCCTTAACCACTAGGATTTAAATCACAACGCCTTATGTTAAAGATGGACTGATCTCAACAGATGATCACTTCAAATCCCATATACAATTTCAAACGAGTACCCTCTGCTGATACTACGGCACATACGTGAAATAAGAATGCCGACGTTGACTGGTTAACCAATATATTACATTGTAGCAGATCACGTCAGGCCAAAAGGTACTTAGTGTACTAGGACAGCACCAGGGTACCGTAAAAAAGTGAAAGTGAAAAAATGATTCGACCCAGCAAGTGCATAATGCATTCAAATGTACTACGCAAAGCGACAGACAACAATCAAAAATGACACAAGCCTAAGACTAAGACAATCTGAGGTCAAAACATGCAGATAGTTTAACCTACTACAACATTCATAAATGGAAACTCTGCTCAGTTTTTTTTTAACGCTAATGTTACGCAAATATCCAAAACCCGCCTTGCAAAGCGCGATAAATGAATATCGTTTAGGCAGTAGTAACCGTAATGAAAAAATATGCCGTCACCTAGAAATAACCCACCATACGTAAATTCGATCGTATTGTTGAAAGAAAAGACCAAAACTATGTGGCGTTTATTTACCTGTACTAGTCATAGCATTTGTTAATTATTTGTTGATGAGTGTCTTAAGGTGGACAGCCGTTTCTGACGAAACCAGACTGTCAAATGTGTTCTAAGATAGGGAGAATTAGTAGAGATCGGGAGTCAAGTTGTCGGAACAACTTGAGGCTCGGTGAAAGATTTCATCAAACCTACATGATTATGTGTTAAACTAGTTTCATACTGAAGATGTGACAGGAATTTCTAGTTTGACAACACCTTCTATAAATGGATCGTACCCATCTCAGTGAGATCAAAAATCAAAAATGAATAGGTTTGAAGATATATCTGATAGACCATCAATATATCTAGAAGCGACCTATCTAAACTGGTTAGCAGTTGTAGAAGAGGCTGAGCACGGCGTTCCCACTCGTGATATGATCCGGCGCCTTTAGCTAGGTGATTCCATTTATTTTGGGGATTTAATTATTTTTATAATACCCACGACTTTTTCAGGGAAAGCTCTTCATATCGTCAGATAACAATAAGACGACATCATTAAGGAGACAGCCACTAAATGACATGGTTCATATGAGAAATGAGTCTGCATGAATTCACAAAGAGCTCACTTTTCATTGGAACTATTTTAATTGCCTCGGAAAACTCGTTATGTTTTGTGAAATGGTGCCTGTAAATGGACAGTTTCCGGACCGTACTAACGTATTCAGTCTAAAACCATTATGTTCTTAAAGCCATCATCAATGTTTTCCCCACTGATTACGTTCTTGAAACGCTAAAGGATTTTCACATGTATAAACAAAACGGGTTCATTTTGAAATTCTCAGATGCACTGATATGATAATTAGAAGTAATTGAATTGTAGTATGAACTAAGAATCCCAGGGATAACGCAATTAAATCAAGAAGTATTACACAAGCACTAACGAATGTACTGTATTTAGAATTCGAAATCAAACATTCAACAAGTACAAAGGAGTCATTAGTTCATTCAAACACCACATCCGCCACAGCTTAAATTAGAGTCCAAGTGTCTGTAATCAATTGTACGTCTTCTTCTCAAGTTCATGCTGTGTCTGTCCGATAATGTATTGGATAAAGACTCTGTATTATCTAAAATGCACTCATTAGTATTAGAATTAACAACTGAAATCGGAACAGACTCACCTGGTTGCTGGAATTGTATTTGATCAACATGTCGATTGTGTGAACTTAAGTCATTGATATCTAGAAGTCGCACCATAGATTTCCCGACATTCTTCAGAACAATCCCCGTGGATGGTCGAAGATCATTGCCACGATAATACGTAACTTCTGCAGACTCCAAACATCTCATATTCGACCGAAGAATTCTTCCTTTTAATAGTTTTGATGGAGTCTCTTTCGTCACCGAATGTCTGGCATTTCTATATTGCAGTAGAAAGATATCTACTCCCCTCTCCAGCTCATTAAATGTTGAGGCAGCAATAGAATCAATGGCAGTTTTTAACGTCCTGACAAAATTTTCTGCCTGACCATTGGAACAAGGATGTCTGGGAGCAGTAAACAGATGTTTGCGCCCTATGCCATTTAACCAGGTAGTGACTGCATCTGCAGTAAAATGAGAGCCGTTATCAGTCACTAACACCATTGGAACCCCTTCTCGACTAAACACCTTTCTTAATGCTTGAATTGTGAAGTCAGAATTTGGTGAAGTGAAAAAAACTTCAGGCCACTTTGAAAAAGAATCAATAACTACAAGCGCATAGTATTTGCCAAGAAACGGACCACAATAGTCTGCCTGAATTCTCTGCCAGGCCTCAGACGATACTGGCCATCGAGTCCGCTTCGAATGCTGATTTTTCAGCTTATGATACTTTTCACAATTGTTTGCTGTACGACAAATATCTGCATTTATCTCTGGCCCCCAACATGTGAGCCTCGCCAATGACTTCATTTTTTCAACACCTAAATGTCGACTATGAAGATCTTCTAGGACAGATTTACGCAATGAAGGAGGAATAACAACACGATCATTTAAACACAAAATACCATCAGGAGTAGTAGATAGCTCATCCCGCTTTGAAAAATAGATAGGAAATCTACGTTTCATATTAGCATTCCAACCTTTCCGTATAGCATTAATTATACATCCAAAGTATTTACGAGTTTCTCTAATGAGATCTGGACGTTTCACTGGTAAAGTTTGCACTAACAAACAGTCTGAAGTATTCACAGGTTTATCTTGTAATGACTGTCGAGAAACGTAGTCAACATGTTGAATTTGTTTGGCACTCCTGTGCTGAACCGTATAGTCATAGGCACTCAAAGCAATACTCCATCGTTGAACCATAGCAGCTGAGGAACGTGCTAAGGATTTTTCAGGATGATAAATAAACTTTAAAGCCTCATGATCAGTAACAATAGTGAATTTCTGTCCGAATAAATATTTATGAAGTCTTTTAACAGCCCAAAACACAGCTAATGCTTCTCGCTGAGTCTGTGAATAATCTTGTTCAGTAACAGTAAGTTTGCGTGAAACACAATAAACTGGTCTACCCTCCTGTTCCAAAACTGCTCCAATACCCACAGGTGATGCATCAATAATAAGCCCAGACTGTACATTAAGGAAGTAAGTTCGAAGAACAGCATCACTTTGAAGAAACTTCAGTAGACTTCGTAAGCATGACTCTTGTTCCTCACCCCATTTAAATGAATTGGATGTCAAAATATTAAATAAACAATTTGCACGACAAGAAAAATTAGGAATAAAACGGGAATAGTATTGAAGAGCACCCATTAGTGAACGTAGTTCCGTAAGATTTTTTGGAGACGGTGCATTTGTCAGTGGAGCTAGTCGTTTCATATCTGGTCTAAAACCATTACCATCAACTAGGTATCCAAGACATTCGAAATTAGATACACGAAATGAACACTTATTTGGATTCACTGTAATATTCTTCTCAATTAAACTACGCAATAAAGCAATAAGTCTCTGGTCATGAACTACCTTATCAGAACCATGAACAATGAGATCATCTTGATAAATTTCAATACCTTCAAGATCACTAACCACCTTATTCATAACTTCCTGAAATATGTCTGGAAAACAACTTAGACCAAATGGAAGGAAATTGTATTTGAGCAGACCGAAAGGAGTATTAATTGTCGTCAAAATAGATGGGGATTGATCTAAAGGGATTTGAAGATAAGCATCTTTTAGGTCGACTTTCGAGAACACTTTAGAACCATGAAGTCGATTAAGAATATCTTCAGCCTCTACCGTCGTGCATGTTTGCTTCAACAAATGGGTGTTCAGTCTTAATCTATAGTCACCACATATTCTAGGAGTCTTGCCGTCCGATTTCAGTGGCGTAACAATAGGAGTACCTCATGCTGAAGACTGAACCGGTTCAATTATGCCTTTTGCACACAAATCGTTTATTGTTTTATGTACTGCATCTCGAAGACCATAAGGAATTATTCGTTTTTTAAGAAAGACTGGTTCACCCTGTACTTGAAGTTTTATAGGCTGAATTTTCATACCTCCACTGCACTTAGCACACGTGGCTATCAAGTCTTTAAGTAAAGCATCATTATTTTCTGTAGAAACTAGGAAAGACAGCTCCACTTTAAGCCTTTTCAAATTCCTTAAGCCCAGTATTGACAGTCCTGTTTCGCTAACTAAAGAATTATCATTTCTTATTAGCAACTCACAACATCCTCTTATAGGCAGTCTGTGTCCAGTAATCCCCAATATTGATACCTCAGTGGGTCGTACCACAACGTTAGGATCTAAAGATTTCAAGTTCTTGAATGAAATAATGGACTCTATGCTGCCTGTGTCCACAATAAAGTCATGACATGAACCATGAGATGTATATAATCGCTTTTGCATATGAGTATTACCTTTCGAAATGGTAGACAAACATAAATGATCATTAGGAACAGCTGAATTATTGGGATCTAAATACAGGATTTATTACTACTTGAGGCAAAATGAACAGTAGTTTTGCATACTGTTTGAATGTGTCCTATCTTACCACATTCCATCATGACGACTAAGCAAAGTATTAAAAATATTCATCGACTGAATATCAAGTTCATTCACTGCCTCGTAGTTAATACACGCAGTTCTAGCATCTTGAAACGAACAGTTGGGCATTCTTAACAGCTCTCTTTCCAAACCCGGTATGTTGATTCCTGCGATTAATCGGTCTCTCAGTTGCACATGAAGTTGATCACCAAAATTACATTTGGCAGCTTGTTTCTGCAATTCAAGGATGAATTCTTTAACCTTTTGGTCATTTCGACGAGTCATCTTATGAAATTTTGCCCTTTCACGGCATTCAAAACTAGTGCACTTTACATGATTTAATAATAACTCCTTAATAGTTGCATAAGGAAGTGAGATAGGTTTTTCTGGATATGCCAAAGTTTTCAATAAGCTGTACGCTTCTCTTCCGATGAATGTCAGGGAATGTGCCACAATTTTATCACCTTTAACATCCTTCTTGGTCATGCTCCAGATTTCAAACCTTTCAAAATAATCCTCAAAAGCTTCAGAAGTTGAGTGAATATCTAACTGTTCCAACGCAGGCACCATCGCGACGCCAATATGATAATTAGGAGTAATTGAATTATAGTATGAACTAAGAATCCCAGAGATAACGCAATTGAATCAAGAAGTATTACACAAGCACTAACGAATGTACTGTATTTAGAATTCGAAATCAAACATTCAACAAGTACAAAGGAGTCATTAGTTCATTCAAACACCACAACTGAGTATCTCGAAAAAGCTAACTTTGATCCTTTATTCGTCCTACCATTCAGTCCGAGAGAGTTGGGGAAAGACGTTCTGTAGCATTCAAAATTAGCAAAGAACTACATTTGTAATCTTCAAAAAACACCCACACAACTGATGAACGAATTGTATCTTCCATCTTCCATCAGAGAATCAATCGGTCAATAATAAGTATTTTTCAGGGGGGTGCACCGGAGTTCCTGCTATATGTTTTTGGTAAATTATTTACACTTGTCAACTTGTTTCTCATATTGGTAGAGATATTTTGAAATCCCTAACATTGCTGGACTCCTTTCGATTGAGTTGAAATGCCTGAAGCAAATCCAGAGACTTATAAGGAGCAGGGTAACAAACCATGCGAGGATTAACCTTATCATCTAGGACAAAATAATTAATGTGTGGAAGGACAGGGGATTTATAGTATTGTAGTGAATAGAACACGGGTGGGGACAATCGAATGTATTTGACACAAAATTACGAAACTTGTTAATAAAATCTAACAATTATAATTGCCTTATTTGCAAAATGCCCATCAACTGTCTCAAAATGACTCGGACTTCATTGTTCTGACATTTTCATATAAATTGCTTTCTGTTTCTATTTTCTACTGTCCGATCCTCTTGACTCTCTGCTGCTAGACACTCTGTTGACGACTTACATCATTTATTACTTATGTCGACTTATGTAGCACACACCACAGTATCACAAGAAGGATGGGATTCAAAAAAATGAAAACGATATTAACTATTCCATTTCCCATACATCACCAAGATATCATTGGATGTGAATTAGAAAATCTGCGAGTAAAATAACCCATTTTCTTCGCTTTATTTTACTCGTTGAGGATTATACACAATTAAGTGACTAAGCTCTCGTAATTGATTCATGTAGACACTACTTTTCAGTAAATCGTTACGCCATATCTTACTCCTAGGGGTGCAGCAAAGTTAAAACCTCATAACAAAAGCAAGATTTAAAATAAAACAAACAACAAAACGTTACTCAAACAGTGGGCGGAGGAGCATCTCATATGTGAATTTAATGTATATGGAATGGCATAATATGCTCACTAAGTCAACGATAATTTTATGTCACAAAGGTTTAAATAGTCAGAAGATGCGAAACGATTTCAGATATACAACTGCGGACGAAGATATTCGAAGTCGTAGAAACATTTGGAAAGATTCTTGGGGAGTGTTAAAGCTATTTCGAGTCACATTTGCTATCGTTTGAATGCATCGGTTTCTAATGCAGTTTATAATGTGGCTCTTTAGAAATGAAACGTTGTAAGCGTTCTATCGGTGATATGGTTGATGCTAGAGATTACCTTATTAAAAAAGGTATTCCTCAGCTTTTTGAGGTATGTCATCAAACATTTATAGGAACATTATACTGCTTTAAAAATATCAAAATTTTGACTTTTCAAAAAACCAAACGAATTTTCATATCCCTATAAACATATTTATTTACAGGTTTTCTGTTTTGTAATTTTGATTCTGTAATTCAATAAAGCATATGGTTTTCGACATATAAATTTATTACAGGCATAGCATAACAATCCGAATGTATTTAATACAATCTCTATTATCTTTCTCATTCTAGAAAAATGGTTTATTTATCATTCATCACCCGATACTGCATGATTTTAGATTTGAGTTAAGAGAATCAATCTGTCAAAATCGAACTCCTGGGTCTTACACTCTTGTCTTTTGTAGATAAGTTTTGCTGTAACTTCAATTTGCTGCAATACTTCCGTTCTGCCAGGAGTTACATGGTACCTCAGAGAGCAAACAAAAAGTGTATAAAAGTCTAATGAAAATGGCGATCGAAAAAACAAGCCATTGACTAGCTATTCACACTAGATTCACTTATACCTGATGACTATAGTAATTGATGACAGTCACTGCTGACACAATCATGAAGCCGAAACAATCCTGCGAGATATTGATAGCAATCATATTTCGGGTCTATTACAATGTATTTTAAACATAACGATGCCTATGTACCGTAGGAATTCTCAAATCTTCGTTTTGTTTTTGATTTTACCAAGTGTGTTTGCTTATATGAGCTTACATAAGGTTAATATTTTGGAAATTAATTCTCGTTTTTTAATTAGTAGAAATCATTATCAAAATATGTTTCTACTGAATCACAGAGGTGACTCAGTGGATAATCTTCAGGATCTACCGAACAAAGGGTGAAAAATTCCTAACATACCGATTTACAATGCATACAGATGTCTTTCTGTGTTACTTCTATTATCATCTATAGAAATTTTATAAAACCCATAAGGTCATAGCTTCTACCGTTTTATAACAATTTTTCATACAGAAAAGCCCCTGAGAACACTGATAATGGTAATAAATCCAAGTCTGAATGAATTAAGTACCAGTTGGGATCTGGCTCATGCTGGAAAAGTTGAACAGCATGGTTCGCTCAACATTACACCTCAAGAATACCATTTCTTAATAGCCTTATATTCTGGCTATAGTGGACTGGATCTCTAAAACAAGGACGTTTTTTCCTACGTTAGTACATGTTGCTACTCGCGCTTTACAGCATTGTAGACTGACCCATGAACTTAGTACTAAATGAGGAAGTCAATCTCAAGTTATATTTTTGGTGTGAAGTTCAGTGACACAGCCTACTTGATCAAACTGAACGTGCTAAAGTAGACTGGTTCTTTTCTTAAAGACTGGTTAATGTAATCACTGAGATGTGTCACAGATGTTGGCATTATTCTTTTTAATTTTAGTGTTTATTGACTGGATTAATGTATCATCGTCCGAATGATCATTTAGACTATATGCAACAATGTATTGAGAAAATTAGAGCAAATGGAATGAACAGTGTACGATGGGACCTATTTCTTCAATCAAAACCCGTTGAGCAATTATCTTTAGATATGAAAACAAGTAAAAATTTTGCTATACATTAATCTGTTACAATAATTTAAAGGATTATTTTTATAATGAATGCCAATCAATATTCTCACTATAAGACGAAATGGGTTGTTCAGTGTCCCTGGATTTTCAGTAGCATCTAGACTAAGAACAGTGACAAAAACCTACTTCAGACAAAATGATTTCCGTAAAACCGCTTCATCAAAAGTACCACATTTATCTAATTGAACGAATCTGCCGTCACTTATTCACTTTTTTGTTGGAATTACAGTTAGTCAGCCTATAGTATTTTAGAGCTTGGGAGTTTCTCAACATTACTGTGGATATCTTAGGTTGCCAAACAATATATGGTTACTCCATAATAATGCAACAACAAATAAATGGTAACAGTGAACAATAAATTTTGCAACTATATCCGTTCTTCTTTGAATCTTGGATAAACTAACATACTAGACTACTATTAATAAATGTAGGAAATTGGTTATTATTCCTATTATCTCCGAAAAGTATTCAGACAACTTACATTGCTCGAAGGTATGAGTAGAAAACCACGTATAAAAAACAATCAGCTTGAGCTGTGATTACCGAGTCTTATTTGACAATACAATATGTTTTTTGATACACTTGACGAGAAGTTTCGCATATCTAGATGCTTCTTAAGGAAACTAGTTGATAGTAGAAATGTTTTTCATCATCAAGTAGTGATAGAATTTCCTTAGTAACTCAAAAACCAGAAGTTGTGTGTGGCTAGGCTTCCAGTTAGTATTATCATGTCTTAAGGACAAGTAATACTAAATGATTTTGATTCATTATGTCTTGTGAATTAATATCAGATGAATGACTAGCCTTTAAAAATCCCAGAGCACTGAATAGCTGTTTTTTTGTAGCTTAAGCTAATTCTTAAAGACGAAAATGATCTGTTTATACCCTCAAATCCAGAACTAGTGATGACCATAGAGTCACTTTTGACTAGATTTCAAGTGAACAGGTCGAAGTTCTCTTAAAGGTATAGGAACTAAGATATCAACTGGATCGGAAATGCGATGCTTGTCAAGTGACGTTTTTTGACATTAACTACGTTCTATCAAAGATCGCAAATAAGAAATACTTAGATTCACTCTGGCTATGAAAAGTTATTCTGCCTACTTCGATACCTAAAGGTCCCAGGATGGATGTTATATGAGGTCGTGTATGTGTAATTTTGGTGAATCATCAGGTGGGTAAAGCGCGTTACCCAATTCTCTTTGGTTTATAATTAATCTCCAACTGACGTCGATTCACGATAAATATTACTTACAAATCGAAAAACTGATATGACGAGAAGAAAAGTCAAGATTCAGTTGATTTACTAATTATGAGTTTAGTTCAACATTACTTCCATTCTGATTCAATGTGATGATTATTCAGTGTAGTATCTGCTTTTTCCTCGTATGATATTCAATTCTGTATAATATATGATATTCTTGTATTCAATGAACATGAACTATGCTCAGTATGTGATATGTTATAACTCGAGGTATTTTTCACATATGTGATTTCATCCCAATTATTAATCTAAGTGTGTGTACAATCAATATATAAATGAGTGAATTTTTGACTATTGTCGTCGTTGTCGTGTTTTGAGGTCAATAAACCTTCACTTATACCAGTCTTTGTATTGTTACATTTGCGTCGTAGGAATTGAAGATGTCCTTCGTTTTGAGTATAAGTGATAAGTGTTTCTGACACAACAGTCAGCCAAGACCAGATATAAAAAGTAGCATTCAATTGACAAGTTATAACAAAAACTCGGCAAACCACTGATCTAAGTTGAAATTTAATGAACTGGCCTTAACACTTTTGACACCTAGTGTTCCTGAGCTGGAAAAGTATAAGTCTTAGGACTCAATTTTTGGATCTTCCTGTTTAACTGGTTTATTGATGATTGTCAAACAGAAGTCCTGTTTCTTTCATTCTAACTGAGACCATAAAACCGTTTGACTCTACATGTCATAATCAACAGTGATCTAGTAGAATATGACGAGATTTTCACGTCAGATGTCTAGGTTACTTAAAGCAGTGTCCCGAGAACACAATACTAAAATGACGTTGTGAAACCAAAAAGCATATTTTCTTGACAAACCGAGGACGAAATAGTTAGTAACATTAACATATTTGTGACATTCAGTTTTCTTGATTCAGTAAATTATATTACTATTCACCAACTAATGTAAGCAATTAGTTACAGAATCCTACCCCAAAATGTCTAGAGACTCAAATGTTCTAATCATAGATGTCAAATTCAATCTTATTCAATTTCATGTCAGAATTTTAGTAACATTAGATTTTTGTTTTATAAGTATTAGCCTAAAATCTAGAATATGAACCAATATTTCACAATTAAATTTGTTTAACTATTTCATAGTATACGATGAGAGAGAGTATGTTTGTAAAACATGTAATTTATTGGTGTTTCCACTTTAATTTACCCGCGATCAAACGACCAGAGTATTAAATCCACCCAGTTTCTATGATACCAGCAAATAAGTAAAATTAATGTCATGTGAAATTATCAGTTTCGTTCTTTTTGATAAAAACAAGTGTTTTTCAATTTTTTAATTCTTTATTTCTAATTTTAGAAGTTGATAAAGACAGTTCACAACATGATGCAATTTCTGAAATCGATTCACCTAGATTATGTATTAAAGAGGACTCAGTGGTTATATGCATAATAGCTGGGCCAGGCATAGACAGATCTATATTTTCAAAAGAATTGATCATGCATTATCCTAAATTTGTTTATGTCAATTTACCGGATTTATTGAAAACACGTGCAATAAATGAACAGAGTCAACAACAATCTCGTTGGCATGAAGCTATACAAAAGCTTAATAATCGGGAATTATTACCAAATGTAATAATTTTTTCTCATTTTGTATTGACGCTTATTCTGTTTTTTGTTCTTCACAGGATATCGTTTTAGAAACGCTTTTATTAAAATTGAATCAACATAGTGACGTGGATGGCTTCGTAATAGATGGTTATCCGAAAACAGAAACACAATATTTAGATGTTAAAAGGCATGTAAGTTACTGATAACACACTTATAACATCTGATTTCTTTAAAATAAGTACAATCACAGATAGATAATTGAGCTTATGCTTTTGAATGTAACAATAAGCGTAGAGTGATCAACTCTTATCCATCAGATGGTTGAAGGTAATCATCTGTAAACGTTAACTGACATAAGTTTCAGATTAGTTGACATTCGTCAGCACAACATTTTTACAGCCCTGAGGAACCTGATATTCTGTTTTGAGTTACAACCTAATTGATAATATTCGAAACAAAGAATAGATGAACACAACTTTGAATCAGTCAATGTAAATGTAATTAATATAAATTTGATGCGTGAGGAGTAGGTGGGGACGAGTGTCATTGATGGTATCGAAGTAATGGAACTACTTTCAAGTTCTATCATTTACTGATTTATTCATTCCTATCTCAGATTATATAAGATGACTAATCAACTGACTGATTTCTGTAATATAACTTAATTTTATATAAATTGAAATGTAAAACATTGCAAATTAGTTAGTTTCTACTTCTTCATTGGTCACATGATACTCAACGTATTCAATAATTCCAGTGAATTAGCAGACAGTAATCCCGATTTAAATTTTGATCTACAACTCTATTGGAGCAATCTTGAAAGTTTTTACAAACAACTAAGTATCTAGAAAATCATTCCATACAATTTGTTTAATAAGTACAGTTAAATTGGTAAGTTTGAAAAACAGATAGTTCGAGTAATCTGTACTTTAGTTTTAATGTTACCAAAAAAACAAGATATACCCAAATCAATTAACCATATGCTGACTGGACAATATTTTTCGTATGAATTTTTGAAGTTCCAGAGATAAGCCTTGGCTTGAGAAATCAACAAAGTTGGAGTTGTTGCAGTGATTTAATAAAAATATTTCTTTAAGATCATACCATATCACAAAATCATCAAAGTTGGAAGTGTTGATTATCGCATTTTTTTACTTATCGACTTAATGTTGCTTATGATACATGAGGGTTCTGAATTCTGTTCTGTGTGTTGAATAGTGAATGAGTATTGCTGAAGGGTTTTTAACTAGAATAAAACATATCTATCCGATACTTGGTTGGTTTGCGTTAGTATCTTAAATGACATCCAACAGTGTGTAAACCGGTAGGTTAAACACCAAACAGTTAGACGTATCACTAATGGTGTCGATCAGGCATTTTTGCTTCACTATTTTAATTATGATTTTACTCGTGAAAACTCGTATGTATTATTCTTTTTATAGTTCATATTATGGTTCAGACTTTCTTCATTTCCTTCTTGTATATATTATCAATCAGGTTGGTATGGATAGATTGAAGTGTGTGATACTACTTGATGTCAGTGAAGAATATTCTAGACAACGTTTAAGTGAACGAATATCATATAGAGATGAGGTTTGTAATAATAATGAATCAGATTCAATTGACTGTTGTCTCAGTATTTTCAAAAATCAAACGTTACAAGTATGCAAAATTATTGATGATGACGAGAAACTCAGAGTTGTAAGTTCTATGGAAATCCATTATTTATCCAACTATTATTATTGCATTCATGTATATAATGTGAAATCCTTTTTTGCGTGTTACGAGTACTATAAGTTTTATAGAAAAAAAAGAATTTTAATTTGACTTTTATTGAATTTAATTCAGACAGTTTTTAGTCCAGTGGGCAACCACGCTGTTGATGTAAACAACTGACATCTACCTTTAAAAAATCTTATCTCATAGTTATACAGAAGAACAAATAACGTCAATAAACGGTTCAGTTAACTTGTATAGATATTGAGAAAACATTCCTGTTGAAACCTTAACAGTGATCTGTCCAATTTAACATCTGTTATAGATTACGGTTATCACGGAAACTCCAACCAGAAGATTTGTAACTACAAAACGAATACAAACTGTTAATGGCTTTGTAGACTGACATCATCTTTTTCTTCCATGTAGTCTGGTTTCCAAGGGCGTATCGAACACCGAGATAAGCCGTAACTAAGTAAATGTTTTAGAGCGTAAACACGCTTTAGAAAGTGTGGTGTTAGGTCACTTTTATAATCAGATTATAAGTTTGGATGATAACATTTGTCATCTATTATTAAACATTTCATTGACATATATTTCATGCAGGCGATTTATCGTAGTTTTTTTTACAAAACTAATCTACAACTACTGAAGGTGATTTAAGATTTACTGTGAACAATTTATCCTTATATATCTGTCAATATACGTCACCACCTATGTAAATTTTAATATTATGATTTGTTATGTTTAATTTTGTAAAATACAAATTAACCTTAAATGTAAATGCTTGCGCATAACCATTGCGTAACTTCTAGATTTAAAATACATCAGTAGGACCATTTACCTTGTTAACGAATTACTTTATTAATACCCATATTATATTCATTTGAAATCTGCATATAAAACAACGTACGTGAAGGATGTCATTTAAATTTTCAGAATATGACAAACAATTTTACAATCTAGTCAGTAAGAAAGCATTTTCATTTTGGTTCACTAGTATGATTATCATGTCTTGTTTAATAACATAATGACTATTGACCTAATTCCAGTTTAGTTTTCTCAGAAAAGTTATACTGTTTCCTATTATTCACCATTTTCAAAGATACATAAAGTTAACAAAATTATAACTAACATTTACATGTAGTTCAAAATCACTTCAAGAAGGTTTTTGGTAAAATTTCGTGAAGTTTTAACGTACTCTGATAAGTACTTTTAAATAATTTTTCTTCAGTAGTTGAAATCAAGAGTCAATTAATGCTAGACCACCATGGAAAACTTGGAAGCACTGGATGACCGTTTCATCCTATTTTTTTGGACTTCTCAGTAGTGCGCAACCACGATCCCGTCTCGCGAGATTCCAACCCAGGACCTCGCGCTAACGCTTAACCTCTAGACCACTGAGTCGGCATCCAACGGTGTTATTGTCTAACTTCAATTAATGCACAAAATTGGATAGATCCCTCATTGTCTTCAGTGGGTTACTATCTCACAACAGACCCTGTTGAACTCCATTGTTAACTGTTTATCACTAGAACTCCAGGAAATACCTCTTGAAGCCAGTCATTGGTGACCATATGTTGATCAGTATCAGAAGGGGCTTTTGTGGATATTATAGTAATTTGAATAGTTGAGATCATGAGGCAATTTAAAGTTTTCAATGTATTACAAAAAAACCTAGATATTTATAAACGAATAATGTTATTTTCTTCAGTAATTTTTCATCACATTCTGTAGTTATAAATTCAAATGGATATTTCAAAGATAATAGTTAAGTTCATGACATTTAGATTTTCTAAAGTAGTGGCTTACATTGAGTTATGAAATATTAGAAAATTTATTTTTTTTTCTATACATAAGGATATCATAATTGGATTATTTTTTTATTACTAAAATTGTTAATGTTCAAATGATGAGTGTGCATTGTTAACATGAATTAGTTACTAGGTCTATTAATATAAAGTATAATAGTAATTATTATTATTACTATTTTATAGATTGATGGAGAGTTAAACAATAATGAGATTTTAGAGGATATTCTGGAATTGTTTGATCATATGATTTCTAATAAATTAGTTGGTAAGTTCACTTAATTTCTATTTAATGATAGCTTAATTATAAAATTTTCAGTATTATAAAAATGAATAGGTTGTTGTAAAGTAATTCAATATTGTTTCATATCGTGATTACATCTTAATGCTTAAGTTTTTGAGTGATACTAAACTTTCTAAGTTAATTATAACAAGATTATGATATAAGAATTTGTAAGTGTATGTAATTCCTGTCCTTGATACTAACGATTCTCAGGTAATCAATTTCTGTTGATAGGTATACTTCCTGAGAAGGTTGCCTCGATATTGCCTTTTAGTCAAAAGTTTATGCTGGAGTTACATATTGAAATTTCATTCTTTATGAGATTCATCAGCTGGTTATACATACATTCCAGTGTTTATGTGCATATTGAGACTGGAATCCTGTACGTTTAGGTTTAAGTGCGAATAAGTTATCAACTGAACTGCCGTATCCAAACAGCCTTTGCAGCTTTTATGAATTTATAACCGTGGATGAAGTCTTTGAGGTTAGATACGAAATATACTTTGCTCGAGTCTAAGTATAAGCATCAATCCTGAGATCTTATAAACGCATCCAGTTATTAGGTTCCAAATAGGACGAAATGATCGTCCTGGATCCCAGTGCTATCTATCATCCAACTTTGATAGAACTTTTAGCACAGTGTTTTGATGTTGTGTTTCCCATATTGAAACCAGAAGCATTCGTAAATCTACATTCCATATTTCCTAAGGAGATCTCATATATATATATATATATATATATATATATATATATATATATATATATATATATGCATGCTTATTATTATTTATAGACATGATACATAGAGGTATAGATCTCTTGATAGCCGCAGTTTTTCTGTCTCGAAATATAAATAAATTTTTATTTGAGTGACTAGCAATATAAACACTATTATTGCTAGTTTGTATGAGGAAAATATCTTCAAATTTTGTTCGTCAGACATTCAGTAATGACCTTTCATTATAACTTATATGTTTCCTGTAGAGAGTTAGTTATAAAAAGGCAATTACTGGGTTGACAGTACAGTTATTTTCTACCCAAGTTAGTCTAATGAACTATTTATTCTAAATAGAAATGGATTTATTAGTTTATTTGATTACTATCTCTCAAATCCTAAGTTGCGTATTAAATAAGCGTTTAATATAGTTCTGGATGGAATTATTCTGGAGTAAACAGGTTAGTTTTAAACCTAGTCGTCAGTGTATCAATCATATCTTCTTTTGATACTAAATTCTTGAAATTGGTGGTTTTTAGACTTTTGAACAGGTCAGTTAGCCAAGATAAAGGTTATCATTTCAATGCATCCAACGAAAAGATGAACATCACGGTAAGCAATGTTACCCACTTATATTTACATAGTCACATGAATGATTGTCGGGTATTGTTTTCGCAGTTCATTACAATCACTAGTTTACGATATATATATATATATATATATATATATATATATATATATATATATATATATCCACTGTTACTAATTACCTCGGTAATAATGTCTCAGATTGTGACACGGTGTAGAACCCTATGATAAACATCAGTTACCTTACGACTGTAAGCATAAATCCTGTTGGCATGCAACAACTAACACAATAAGCAGATTAACACAGCTTCCAACCTACCGATTAATTCTAACTACCTAGTAATTTTTACGTGTTTTCTGGTAAATTATAATTTGTTTATAAATGAATATATATATATATATATATATATATATATATATATTTAACCACTGCAAAAATATCTTTTATGGGTGATTTTTATGATTTACTACATACAGAATCAGAAGTACATCTTGCCTCAAATGCTTCGTCTAATAATCTACTTGCCCCAGTAAATCGTAAAACGAAGGGTTATGAAAGCAGACCAAGTATAAGTAGTATCCCAAAAATTATGCCAGTATTTCCTGACAATGGTCGAATCCATGGTATTTATAATTGTCCAATAATTTTATTATTAGGTAAGTATATATAAAATAAATTTTCTATCAATTGGCATCGAGAAGGCGATGAATGTTTTCACTATTGGTATATGTAGTTTTTTACTATAGTTTATTTGTGTTGATGATGTAAGGATTCTGTTAAAAAACATTCACGACCAAATCTATCATAAAAATATTATGGTAACTTTGAAGCTTTACTGTAGGATAAATAAAATGAGATTCTTTTAACAAGTAACATTAAGATGATATCTGTATACAATATGTCAGACATTTTGGTTTGATGTTAAATAGTTTGTTTAGTATAAGCGAGCGGATATGACTATAAATGTAGCAATAAATGAAATATGAGTTTGTTCATTCTGATGCAAAGTATTTTCGGCAATGTAAATCCTTAAGGAATAAATTCATGATCATAAGTTTTTTTTAAAACTAACGCTTATAATTATTCATGACATTCAACGATTGTATTAAATGATAGGAACTTCTGTAATGCCCAGATATTTTTCGAAATGACTAGAAAATTAGTTTTCCACTAAATTCATTACGTTTACTTATTAATGAATATTTAAACAGTGTAGTATTGCTTAATCAAGTATTTATAGCCTTTATAATCAATGTAAGAAGAAAAATAACATTATCAGTGCTTTTTATAAATGAATTGTTAATGAGAAACATACACGTTGATATGAATATTATTTGTCAAGATAATTCAATAAATTTCCAATGTAAACTTATGTATACCAGTTTGTGGTTCAATAATGTTTTTAGCTGTAAGAGTGTCACAAAATATGATGCATTAGTTAATAAGGGTTATTGTAGTCTCATCACCACTTCGAAAGAGATATAGAGAGATTGCGAGTGTTGTAAAACGTGAAGAGTTTAGCAGAAAAGTATTCTATATAAAATCCCGATTGTACATTTTCAGTTCTTTTTGTTTTAGGTGGTCCAGGCTCTGGACGAACAGAACAAGCATTACGTTTATGTAAAAAATTTTCTGGTTTAGCATATTTCAATGTTACGGACTTTTTGAGGAAAAATGTTCTGGATTTTATCAATGAAAATGATACTAGAGATTGGGATGTAATAGCACGTCGAGTACATTCTAGTGATCCACCGTCGAATAAAGTATGTTTATAATGTAGTTTCGATAATAATATTACTAATAATAATACTCGGTTAATTAAATACCATATATTGGATTAAAATAAAAAATTCTCAGTAAAACTGTAACGAAATTGCTGTTGTATGTAGATTTAACATGTGAATATTCAAAAAATATCTATAAAACGTTTTTTAAGTAGTGATTAACTGCAGCATATGTTTATCCGTAACCATTTATGAACAACTTTCCAACTACGATATATATTTTCATTTTATTAGAATCACGAATCGATCTAATTCAAGAAACCATAGGAAACCTGGAAACATTGAAAGACTGTTTTGTCTTAATGTAGGACTTCTCAGAAGGGCTGATTCGAAACCATTGCTTACTGGTTGTCTAATAAAGAGCGATCCTTACTTTAAACCGAAGCATTTCTTATCAATTCAGGAAATTTTGAAACCAGTGTATACAATGGCTACTCGTTTTCAAAAACTTTCACTATAACATTACTTAAATCGTTCGTTAAGAAATGTTTAATGCAAAACTACATCCTGTTATGGTTAGATATATTTGCCTAGGAATAATTCAATTTAGTCAACCGAGTTTCATAACATGACTAAATAATTTATCTTTATCAATCAAAACTCTAAATTCAATTTCCAATTCCGCTTATTCAGTAGTATCAAAACACAGTGGAGAAATGTTTCAAAGAAAGTTATTATTAAATATATTTAACCACACAACTACTGAGAAGTATAAATGTGTCTGTCATCTGTAGGTAGATGGATTGAAAGTAAATGAACCCCGGAATATAACTGAACAATTGATTTTTTTTTGTTTTCTCTGCTTGCAAATAAATGATTGTTATCAATCGAAAAAATGTTTATCATATTCTAAAAATCTTATTTCATTATTTTTCGAAATTTAGGATAGGTTGATTCCAGAATACTGGGTAGGTTTTTGATGCGTTCCGTTTTTGTTACTTGCATATTACAATTTTCTATTTTAACGGTTTTGTGTAAAATTAGGGTATTTCTGTCGCACGATGACTAACCACTCAAAAATGAGGAAAAATTTATCAACTATTATCACTTCTAAATTTTGCATACTATTAGATTTTAAATTCATTTGATTGGTCTTTAGTAAAGTTGCAAATATCTAAGAAATTGCGAGCACTATCTAATACTTGGAGAAGAGTTTCAAAATTAAAATGAATAGCTAGTGAGTAATTTCACTTTATCATTGTGTGATGTACGTTATGTATGCTGATAAACTTAAGTAGTATGTAGCAGCAATCAGAAGTGGGATCCATGCCAGCAGAACATTGAATTAAAGAGAAGAGGGAGCAAAACAGGGAAATTAGAATAACAACGTATTTGCAATAATCATGAAGTACGTAAGGGACAGCTGAAAGAGGATGTGAAAATAATGTATTAAATGTAAGATTTTCATATTTTATAAAGGTCAAATTTTTTTGTACTGAGAGGTATTTTTATTACTATAGATGGTTGACTCGAAATAAATTATATATGGGCTGGCGTTCGAATTTACCACGTAATTGTTCATGTTCCTAAACACAACCACTTGTTTAACCATGTATAAATTACTTATATACGTCCAAGTCTCCGAATGTTTTACGGACCTATCACTGTGTTTGAAGTATATAGGTTTGTAGGATCTCAGGAAAATACTAGAACAATCTGAAGATAAGAGCGTCTGCGTCATTCTAAATGCAGTTGTAAAAAAATGTGATTTTCTTCCCTTATCCGTTCGTTTTCAACAGTGTGGTTTATCAGCTTATACATTTTGCATCTTTCTAGAAAGACCTTGTTTGTTCTAACAGCTAGTGTAATTTATTGATTTCCTGACATTTCACAGTAGCACACTAGTAAGTTATTTGCTTATCACATTTCTTTTTACATGAAAGGACGTTCAATCTGAAGTAATCCGTTTAGAGTCCAGTAATTTGGCTGAAAATAATAGAGCTGTTATCATTGAAGGATTCCCATGTCATGAAGGTCAACTAAATACATTTAATCAATGTGTAAGTAATTTCATTTTCCTTTTTAAGTTTCAACAAATTATTTATTGATTTATTGATAAACTCAGATTATTAGTTGAATACTCTGAAACAGTTAATCTTTTCGATAAATTCTAATAGTGGGATTGTAAAACAAAATTTACCGGAACTATGTGATGTATAGGTGTGGAATATATATTCCAAACTGTCGAGCCGTAAATTATTTTGTTAGAATATTTATTCGAAAAGAAAGTAGTCAAACTAGACAAACAAGAACATATAAACGACAAAGATATCGATGAAAACACAAATGATACCGTTTGAGGTATTAAATTCAGAGTCAGTAATACCGGAGTAGATAAACTATTATAGAAAACTATTCCTAAGCACATAAAGAAGGTTAAAATTTTCATTTAGCTAAATCTTTAATAAACCTTTTTACTCATTTTATGGAAGTTTTATACAACATTACAAAGGTTGATTTGATTTGATCTCTAAGATCACTTTCAATTAAATGTTCAATAATGTAGGAAGATAGTTGTTTATTATGAATTCTTATTAAAGGATTGAAATACGTTTATTATGGTATCCATTTAGGTGTACATTCAGTCACTTTTATATGACTATCACACTACAGACATCGGGATGTTATCTAATCCTCTACATTTTGTTTGCATTTTTGGTGAAACATGGACCGTGACTTTTCAATAATGATGATCTGAGCTGCGTGAAAAGTCCTAGTGACCGCTAATTTAAGTTTCGTTTCCATACTAGGTTGTTTGAGTTGAACTTGTACATGGCAGCTCTACCTGATTCTTTATCATTTTTTTTGCAGATGAAAATCAGGATTGGTTCGTGATTCATTTCACGATGAATTTAAAAGTCGATAAGTTATTATGCTTCTTTGCTCTGATCCAGGACTATAAAATTGTTGAATTATATATATCAATCTAAATTAATATCAATGAGGAATGTTAAGAGATTCAGAGACATAAATAAATAGTCGATCCTAGACTTTTGAAGTAGGTCTTTGTCCTGAAAGATCACAAAAATTAAATCTCAATGAAAGTGCTTCATTTTGACTAGCAGACAATATGATAGGGGATAAAATAATTAAACATTTTCTGAGTTTATTGAAACAATTTGTTTTTCACAGATTCTTTCATTTTCATAATGATCATAATAATCAATGATTTTAACATGCTGGACTAAAGAAGTATCTTAGTTGTATTGTATGTTCTGTGAGCTAGATGATGTAATCCCAAAACTTTCATTGTCATTTTTCACAACCTTGTCAGCTCGTACTTCATGAAAGATCTGGAATCAAATCATTTAGGTCATAGATCAAAACACCACCAAGTTCATTCCTTTTAGCTTGTTATAGCGCTCATTTTTCCACGTTTACACAAATAGGATGAAAATTTGCCTTAGACAAATATCTACACTAGATTCCCTCCCAGTGTCTATTCTACAGGACTTCAACACAAGTGAGATCAAGATTAATTGATGGGCCTGACTAGAACGTAAATACATTCCAACACCAAAAGCTGACAACAATCACGGCAATAATAAGGGTAAGAGAATATATAACTCATCTAGTACCTGTCAGACCATTTACTAGTCTGACTAAGCAAACAACCAATCATTATCATCTTTACTCACACATCTTAGCTGTAAATATTTCCATCATTTTAGAGAAATACCTGTTAATTTAAAAGATACATGGTTATGGGGTCTAATTTACTATGTGTGATTTGGTAAAATGACCAAGTATTGAGGCGTCACGTTGTAATTTGCTAGAGCGTAAATTTTTATCTAGTTGTCTGCGAAGTATAAGATTTGTCATGCAAAACTGGTTAACATTCAGTCTTACTCGTTCAGGTTCAGTTTCGACAAATTTACCTAACATTTTTACAGTGCACAGAAGGCCACTTTTTAAAGGTTAAAAAATATTAGTATTTTGTCTTTTTTTTGTTATAATCATTCATGTTAACATGTATTGATGCTAAATACCATTCGACTGGAAAGCTAACCCAGGATCTTTAAGTATCATGGTTAGCGCTTGACCTTTAAAGCATTTAATCGATATCCAATAGTTTACATAATTTAAATAATAAAATTCAATTGTCTACGCAAAGCCGCTATAGGAATACAGATACCGTTAGGATTATTTAGAATATATTGAACCATTCACAGTTTAATGACGTAGCTCAAATATCCGTGGAATTGTTTAATATTAAAATTGATTGTTGACATAGATATTAGCAAGTATCAAATTTACTGATTTATTATTCTTCATTCATAATACTTTTCTAATATTTGAAGGACATCAGTTAGTGAAAAGTAAATCAAAAAGATTATTTTACATCCGTCATGTACGAAAGTCAATAATCTGACATAAACGTTGTTATAACTTGTGGCCTGAGTGCCCTGTTTACTGTATAAAGTAACGATACCACCAATCAAAGAGCAGTGAATTATCGATTGGACCAATGACACGTAAAACCCGTACAAGCAGTCTAGAGTTCTTATTGGTCCTACTTCCCGCCTAGCCCAGCCAGTTAAGTTCAGAACACCAATCTCAACCTCTGCGATATGAATCATTTATTTCAAACATACTGGGTTTAGATACCAACCAGAGAGACTACATCGTACCAATAAAATAGGAAACAACATTTATACAAGATTTGACCAAATGTGTCTGTGAATGTGGGAGATAGTGATTAATAGACAAAGCATAACTCAAGAATGGTAAATCGTATAATAATAGTTCATATGTCAAAATAAGGCTCATAATAATAGCGACATGAATATGAATAGTTTAGTTATTTAACAATTATACGATAAAAATATAATAATAGTATTGGTCCATAAATGGATCCCAAAAGTTACCATTCATTATGTCTATCGGGGCAATCATTTTTAAAAAAAAATGTTTACTTTTTTTGAGCCAAATAAACCGTATTATTTATTGAGATGGTGGAGAAGATTTGTAGCTCAGATGGATGATTTTGATGGAGTTTTGTTCTCTGAGCTGGATGGTTTGGTCGTGGAGCTTTCATCGTTCTTCTGAACGACATCATCAGCACAAACTATTATAAATCTCCATGTATAATTAACTTCTATTCTTATTGGTCGAATTTTAGAATTTTTGAATATGATATTTACAATGATATTTACTAATTTCTTGATTTTTTCTTCAAACGTATAAGATCTTTGATAAAGTCTAATTTCCTGTCTTATTACTGGTACGCTCTTCGATTGATCTACTCACGTTAACTTGTCTCTCATACCAACAGTAGGTTTACTAGAACCAAAAGAACGATCACAAAAACGTGCTAGTTTTTACTGGTTTCATGGACCAACCTCAGAAATTATTCACTAGTTAACCGAAATTCAGTGTAATGCATGTCTAATCAGTACACAATGTTTTGCCACCATATTTAATTGTCGTTGATGAAAAACCACCTTACACCCCACACCTTTCGAACTCCATTGCTCACCACTTCTCACTAGAATTACGGAATGAACTCGCGAACTTATTCACACTAGAGACCACATGGTAATTATTTACATAAAGGTTTGTGGAGATTATCGAATGTTATTGGTATTATCAATCTTCCTAATTAAGATATCAATTGAAGTTTTTAAAGAAAGATGATATGTCTTCAGACTAAAATGTATAAAATATGAAGTCCACATATAAAACGAGTTAAATGTTACTAATCAGCTAATAAACCTCATCTCAAGTACTTGTAAATAGGTTGAAGAGTTTAGGTAAACTACATACAAACAATTATGTAATTTTTTTCATGCAATACGATGAATCACCCAGCACCTTTAATCTCAATTAACAATAAAAGCTTTTGTTATGAAGCATATTAAAATTGTGATAGCATGATGTGAATATATATAGATATGTCTGAGACAGAATAGATTGTTTTCAACTGATTGACAATTTATCAGGATAATCGATATAAAAGTCTCATTTATCTAAAAAAACAAAAATGTTGATGATTTAAGAAGCCGGTATGTAACAAAATTATTTTCACTTACTAATGGTCTGACAGTCATTGTATTATTAGAAAATATTCTTATTAATAAGAGATTTAAGAAAAATTTAGAACTTTACACCTTTGGCTCGTCTTAAGATTCTTTAACAGTGAGTATGCATGATTTCACTTAAAACCAAACTAAAGAACTTAGTCTCGTAATAGAATGGGTCGAAATGTTAACTTCAGACAATTAGTGGTCTATTGTTATACTCATCAATTGTAAGATATACATTAGGGAAATATAAAGTCAGTCAAATAAAGGTGTAATTGATTTGGGATATGAGTCTCCAGTTGTGGAACTCAAAACACACGTTTCGTTTTAATTCAGTTTCATCATCTGGATCTACTTACATCTCAGTGTTCTTATTTATATTGAGACTCGAATACAATTCCTTTCATTTCAAATGATAACAAACTATTCACTGAGATATTGAGTTCAATTAGCTGCTAACTTGTTAAGCGGGTATAAATATATTAATAGGAATTAAGTGATAGGTAGTTGAACTGAGAGATGTTGATAGATACGAATTACCTGGTTGGTGTCTTCACACTTATCATATCCAATTGTTAAAGACGTTGAATGAATTCTCTCAGAATTCAAAACTACAGAGCAGATACATTCCCACTTTGTCTTCCGGTAATTGATTAGTTCTAATACAATCCTTTAAATTTCTTTATCCCACAAGTTCATTTATTCTAATCTTTTCTACTACTGCTTATAATATGACTAATTCTACTGCCCTACGAATTGTTTCATTAATTCATCTGTCTTTGCAGACAGAATCAATGCACTACCGTACCAGTTTCCACATTGTATATACTTGACTGATACTAAATAGAGACAATCTTACTTTCACAATGTTTCCTCTTTATATATATCTAAACTATCTCTTTTATGTATAACCTCACTTACTGTTTACATTTTGCTTTCTATTAAAGATTGGTGGCGTAGATTTAGTCATTTTATTAGATTGTGAAGAGACAACATTAATTGATCGATTACATCAACGATATGAACGTTTAAAACGTGCTGACGATCAAGATGCTGTTGTGTTACAACGTATATCATTCTTTAAACATTGTACATTACCTGTTATAAGATATTATGATGAGCGAGGTAAATTAATAACAGTAAGTCTAGTTAGTTAACTAACTCCTTGTTAAATACTTATTGGAAATTTATGCTGATAATATTTTTAAAAAAACTTTAATTTCATTTATTTTCTTGTTTGCAATCGAAGCGTAATTAAAATGAAAAATGCAATCTATTCTTTGAATACATCTTTTATGACACAAACCCACAGTTTGTAGTGTGATCTGATGAAGTAATTCTTCTTGATTACAGACAATGTTCAATTTATCCTGTAACGTGGTATAGATCATTATTATCAGTTTGTTAGACTATTTATTGTAAATTATTTAATTATAGATCAGCAGTTGGTTACCAAAATATTTAATTAATATTAAAACCGAACTATTATCAGTCATATCTGAGGTCTTACCATGTGATATATCTACAGGATGAAGAATAATTACTTATTATTAAATACCATCTATTTCCTGTTAGGTCGTGGTTGTAATTAGCCGACACCCTGAAACTAAGTTTTATGCTACTCGACACTCGTTAACAATGTAGATTTGTTAACCTGAGGAAACTGATGCTTCTTGTAGAACTCGATCTTGTGTCACTCAGCTTCACGGTCAGATATATTACCTCTGAACCATCCGGGCTGTGACTGATCCCCTGCAGAAATGAGACCTATCCGCCAGGAAACGTTAGTTTCCTAAAGATTACAGATACATGTTTTTGACAAGTGCCAAATAGCACGAAATCTAAGTCCAGGGTTTTCTGTTGATCATTTACATCCATCAATTTACGTCTCAACATGATGCACGCGATGTCGAGTCACCTAAACTAATGACTACATTCGAACTTGGTCGATAGAATTTTATCTGCACTATCTTGATATTTATGGCATTGATTACTACCTGTTAATCAATCAACTATAAATAATTCACTTATTGTAAGATTATTAATTCAATCGGTTATATCAGTTTCATTATTTCGTTTTATATTTAACAGTATTAAGCCAGACAGTTTTCGATGTTTGGTAATTTATAAAATGAAAACTCCGATACTGATTCAACGATTACAAGAAATTTCAATTCAACAGATGAACTTTTCTTTAACTATTAACAATATAAGGTAAAAAGAAAGGATATGCCACTGAGTGAATCTCGAAAACAAAGAGATTTTAGAATTAAAAGTCTATGACAAGTACCATATGAGTATACAAATCTTTTAATAGACCAGATCATATCATCTGCGTGTTCTGAGTTTCTTATGATATGAGATCAAACCATGAAGAGTTAAATAAGGAACCATGATTTTTCGAAGAACATCTATGACGAAATTAAATACAAATGGGAGTAATGGTTAGAATCGATAAATATCACTATAGTTGCCAAGTTAGAAGACAGTTTAACGCAAGCTTTGACTTGAGCATTAGTTTGTGAGTAACCAACTCTCTGACTGTCGAAAATTGCCACAAAAACTCTTGGTTAAGAAAGCTAGATGTTATTTTCAAGTCTAGAAGTATCATTTTTATCAGAGGTCAGTAATTATGTTTATGATTCAAAACCTAACGAAGCGTGAACATATAATATGTTTATCTACGTTCAAATGTGAAGTCAGCATAATTTTCCCGGGTTTGCTAAGCGTTGGATGAATATAGAGGCTTGCACGCTAGTTAATATTTTGGTAAACTTGATTCGTCTGGAGTTTTGTCCTTATAGACTGGGACGATCAGCGATTGAAATCAACCTTCTGGGATTGCGTCCATTTTCTGAACTCTAGCTTATTTCTAAGTCAGCTTAATTTCTAGAAGTAGAACACCTTTTGTGGACTTCTAGAGTCGATCTATCAGATCTCACAACTCCTCCTCACCTCAAATTATGTATAGTCTCTTAGACATTATTGAGAGTTATTGTACTTGTGTCTATTTCCTATTTGGGTTTTTTGAATACCGTGGGGAACTAGAAAGTAGCTGGTGGAAAGTTAAATTGTTCACCCCCTCGATACAATCTTTTGAACTAACAGTGGGTGACGCTTCTGTTTATTTTTACCAAAATAGTCTCACTAACAGCTAATTACTCAATAACTGATTCCTCGATGAGCTGCAACAGTTGTTTAGTGTATCATTTTAAAATATAGTTTAGTACTTTTAATTTAAAATGTATCCTTTATTACCTGAATTTAGCAACTGATTAAAGCAACAGTAATTTTATAAAATGGTTTAAAGTTAAACATTTGTTTTTGTATGATTATTATATACTAGATAATAATATTTAAAATATAGTCTAATCTTTCTTGATTTTATTTTGGTTATTAATAGATTCCTGGTGATCAAGAACAAAGTCTTATCTTCCACAATTTGGTTGCCGTAATGGAATTCTTTTTAAGCACAGTATGTTTATTTCATTTTATTCACTTTATATGGAAAGATAACCCCCCTTCATGAACTTCCACCATATAGGAAATTATTAAGTACTTGGAAGTACTAAACAACAGCCAAGAACATTTAGTTGGATTCTTACTTCACCAGTATGTATATATACATATTACACATAATGGTTCCAGTAAATCTTTATGTTTCTAAGTGGTTGTCTGAAAATCTTGTCTGTTCAAAACTTGGCTAATGCAAGCTTGCGTATTCATTATGGTGCCCAAGTTCGCAAGGCATGATCGTGAAAATACTGTATCATCAATAGATGATTCTTCGAGATCTCAGGAAGATGTAAGCATTTGAGCGGTGTGACAAACTGAAAAACAATAGATCCTACCCCGGACTCACATCATGATTTGAGGACATGATTATCATTCGTTTCTCAATCATTATTGTGTTCTAAATTAATATCAGTGACATGATAATTTTGTTTTGTCAACATGTGTTTTTTTCCTAATAAACCAAATGACTATCCAACCTAGTTTGTGGAGACTCTCTGTTTCTCTGAATAGTCTTGATTGTGCACACTAATGATAAGTCATAAATGAGGATGAAAAAGTCTCGTTTTTAAGAAATTTGAAGCTTGTGTGTAAAATGTCTTTTCATTATACGTAAAAGGAAAAACCTATATTATGTCATCATGGAAAATAATTTGTGCATTTTATTTCATATTCTATCTGAAAAAAAAGAAAGAAGAATCAAACATTGAAACACCTGATAATAAAATTGTAAAAACTGAAGAAATTATACCGGTAATATCAAAACTAATAAAAAATGAAAATCGGAAACTTTTAACGGTAAGATTTTATAACTTTAAAGTCTACTTAATTGAATATAAGTAATATTTAAAATGCTTATTTATTTGCTTTTATTCATTAGTTCCTCATAAATTTCTATGTTTTACAATTGTACATCATTTGTATTCGTTTAATTTCATACAATAAATGAGTTTATAGTTTATAATCTTCTAAATACTACTGATTGCTAGTAAGCCATGTAAGAATACTAACATGAATAAATAAATAAGTTGGCCTTTTACCTTTATGTATATAATGATTTAATCATGAAAACTTTTCGTATTTAGCTTTGTTGTTATTTTCTTCAGTTTTGTTGATAAAATCTATAAAAAAATGAAAACAAAAACTTTCTCAGTTTTCCAATGTTATTTTTTTGTTTGTCTAGGGTGTGACAATAGATGGTAAGTCATTTGTGTGCGTGCATTTGTATGTGTGTAATTTTCATTTGGCGCATTTTTCAAAATTCAATCACGTAATTATGTTTCATTTAAAAATAAATTTGATTGACTATATATTTTATACTTATTTGTTTTTAAAAAAACTGAAGTTGATATTGTATAGTTTTCTTAAATGTTCAATATATAAAGATTGAGAATTTTCATGGATAATATGAAGTGTTTTCAAGAAGATAAAAGTTACTTAAAAACTTTCAGTTTATTGCTGATTGTATAATTATTAAAACTTTATTTCGGTCAAGTTAACTAAGTTAATTGAAATCAGTTATTATATACAATTTTTATTTCAAAATGTTTTCTACTGTAAGTCAAGCTCATAAGGATGTAAAACAAACCAAACAGAATGTATTGAAACCACTTAAAATTACTTTAAAGAAATAATGACATGTTATGGTTCATAACTAATTTACTCAAAATGTCTGTTATTCTGAATAATTTACGTTTAATAGCAGATTTATATAATAACGGTTAATGAAGTTTATAATTCACATTTTGTTCTAATCAAAATATTCTACATGAGGTGAACGTTAAAGCTGTCATTTAGAAAAATCAATTTAAAAGCTTAGCGATAGTAAAATTTACTATAACACAGTTAATATCACCTGATTTATAAATGTTTTGCATTAGTCCAATTTTAATTCATTTCAATAGTTGAGATCATGAGTCAATTGAATCTAGACTAATATGGAAAACCTGAAAGCTTCAATTGACTCATGATCTCAACCATTGAAATTACTATAATATCCACAAAAACCCTTCTGATTTTAATTAATTTTTTTTGTTAATGTATAAACATTAGCTGCACCAGTAAAAAGATATGTATATTAATGTTTTCACTTAAGAATGTTTCACAAAACTGCTGATTTTAATTGGTTTTTTTAAAGAGTTTTATTCTATCTATATTCTTTATAATAGATGATCAATCACTTGAGACTAGTTTTGAAGATAGCGTAACAAAAGATAATGATTCTTCTCCATCAAGTCAATTATTAATTACACCTGAATGTAATGAGAATTCATTAGATCAGATTGAATCGAAATTGGAACATTTAGAAGGTGATTATGAACTGAACTTTTTAACAACAATATAAAAACATTAATATTAATGTATAGTTTGTTTTTCTTCAGGAATAGAATTGTTTATCATATCTAAAGATGAATCTATACACAATATGTAGTTAATTAGTTAGCTAGTCATTCAATAATCGGTCACTTACTCAGTCAATATCATAAACAGCATAGAAATTGGTTCAAATAGAAATTGATTTAACTTATATTATTTTCTATCAAAACAATAAAAGGAAACTTCAGAAGACAAAATTTAGTAAAATCAAAATAATTGATGATAATAGAAAAATAACACTTGAAATTTAAGAAAAATATAGTTCAATAAAGAACAAATAAAATTAAGCAATAAAAAAGTATGGGATCACTGTCAAACTTAATGGTTAAAGTTATTCACAGTGTTTTAGGTATTCCATAAGTGTGTTAAATCTGGAACTTTTCAACTATTTCTCTGTTCATTTAGTGAGTGACAACTATAGATTAGTGTACTTTTCACCTAAATCATTTTAACACTTAATGTCTACTGTGACATTTCGGCATCTGCTACATATTGCGTCAGCATTTGCAGGGAGGCATCAGAAGAATGAATAGCAATTGGAAAGGATTGCCCGGGACAGATTTCGACAGAGAATCCTGGTGGCGCTCTATGCTTCTCCACGAAAGGATACAGATGTAAGTAAGTACACTGAAAATGTTCGTAGCAGAAAGAGAAGGAAAACTCCAGATGCTTGAGATAAAATATTTAGTTGAAATTCACTTCATTATGCATTCACTCGTTAAGTGAGTAAAAAAGACCCGAAAGTAATCGATATGTAGCAGTAAGAATTAAAAACATTGCGTTTAACTTCAGTCAACTTAAGATTTTGAAGTACTTTAGTAATACAATTGTCATCTCAACACAAACCTGCATATAAAGATAACGAATACTTCTTGTACTTTAACCAGAACATTTTTTGTAACAAACCAACACGCCTCAGGTTGAATATCAAAGTGGACCTGATAGTTCTCGCTTTTCCCTATCATATTATGATACGTTGATTATTGGTAATATTTTATTGAAGCAGTCAATCCAAGACGTGACATCAGTTCTTAAAGTTATTGACTGGCAAATTGAAACATATCTGCACGAGCAGACTAACTGGTTTAGATCCTCGCTATTATTGTGACTAGCGGTTGGTAATCCTGAATTTTATAGCTGAGAATTAGTAACAGTGGTGCAAATGCATTCAATCTTTGTCTTCTTTTATATCTTAAGTTTTAAAATGGTTTTGTGATTTTTATTCCTGAAATTTTTTCTTTCCTCCTAGATGTTTTTTACCATCACTTAAACTGTTACTATCTCATCTACTTTGATATTTGTCATCATAATTTCATCTCAATATGCTGATATGGTGCAGCAAGTAGAATCGATGCACATATATGCCACATTTTGCATTACTTATACTTTATCAATAACATCCGAAAGACGTTTGATAAAATCGTATGTATGTGTTTGCACTCATTTATCCAAAATACAGTGCGCTATTGTCACATTCTCCTATAATGACCTTGAGGGTGTCATAACAATTAATCATGTATTCTATAAAAATATCAAAAGAATGTCACTAAGAAAATAAAGATTTATTTCACTTTCCATTGATTGATAGTATTCAACTATAAAAAAGCAAACATAAACAGGGACTCATGTGTTTAATGGGAGATAACATGATTGACTGTTAGTTACTGATTTTGTAAATGTTGAAATGTCGTTGTTTGTCTTCGAGAACTCTCGAAAATACTATCTATTAATAGAAAAACATGTCTTATCCTTTTAACTAGTGATTTAGAGCAATAAAGTATACTTCACTTATGTCTCTTCTCAATATTCTCATTCATCGTCTAATGGATCATGTTTGAAACGATGTCTTTATAGTTTAAATACTGATCTTCATAAATTGATGAATCGCCTCACCTACTTTATTTTGAACATCTCAATAATGTCTTCAACGTATACATCTAAACTATCACTCAGAATAAAAATACATAAACCTGTACTTTATGAATTAAATGTATTAATAGTTTACACCACAAACTAACTTTAGTCAGTTAGCCATTGAAGTCCTGGAAACTATAGATAGCTGTTATATATATATATATATATATATATATATATATATATATATATATATATATATACCCAGCTGTTACCTCTTTAATTTGCCTTTTTTAAAATAGGAAGTCCGGCGAAAACCGTAAACGATGATTTGGACAAATATAAATTTATTTTTGTCATCGGTAAATTATACAAATTTATATGATATTAAATAATTTATATTTTGATTTTGTTTCGCAAAAGATAACACTGTGTTATCGTTTGATAGTATGATGTATACATATTTTAGCTTGATGATGTACTCCAAACTTTTAATAAGTTCATTTATCTTATTTATTGTTATCTATATTATTACTCAAACAGTAGTTTTCTTTATGTAGTATTCTTAGTTATGAAAGTGCCTGTATACATAAAAGCTTAACTAACAATCGGACTCTGCATATTTTGGTGTGATCATACCTTTCCGGTTCATCCATGTTGATTTACTGACTCAAGTGTTTCCTTGAAGCCAGTCAAGATGAGAACACCGTTAAACACGTTCGTAACTGAAATTCTAGACATCGTCCCACCGGACTAAGTAAAGGACAGTTAAAGTTAACTGAACGCCCTATACTCTTTGACTTGGTTGATACGAGAAATTAGGTGGACGTAAACAAAAGCTTTCATATCATTCACCGAATCCCACTAAAGCTTATGGTACATATCGTACAAATACGCTTTTTACATGTTAGCGGAGCCATCAGCATATATCTTAAAAAATCCGACACTAGTACTCATAAAAAATTTGCAAAACCGCTCTTTCCATCTTAACTATCAAATGGGTTATAAATGTCTGAATTTATTCGCCCTTTTATCAGAGGTTGTACTTATTTTTCAATAACTCTAACAATCTGTTTATTCCTAAACGGCGATTACTAATATTTGACTTCTTTTCGGAAATTTTGTGATTTCTCTTTATACATGTTAACCATACACTTGATTGTTCACTGAGTTTTGACTAATATCGTTCATCTTTCTAGTGTGAGACGTTACTACTGAGCTGTTTGAGCTGATATTTTTCTGCCAATTACCTCAAACCATCTTGCATCTCAAAAACAATACACAGGATACCAAATCGCTTAGACTGGCAACCCCATTACAACTTCATTGATAAAATTTGATAAGCACTGTGGATTAGACAAACGTTTTATTGTTCACTGCTCATTGATTAATCACTCATAAACATCTCAGTTCCACTGGAGATCAGTTAGAGCTTGAATAACTCAGTAATGACGTTTCAGACTGTGAAGCTGGATGACGAGGTTTTAAAGCTCACTTGAAGGGTCAGCTCTGTTCCCCAATGAACACGAAACCTAGGGCAAGTGAAGTTTCATTTTCAATTATGTCCAACCACATAACAGGTGTCATGCAATTCATTTATTCTATGACTACGTCCAATTATTCATTCAGTTATTAATTGATATCTCTAAATATTGAAATCACTGTGTTGACCTTTATTTTTAATTACTTTATTCATCATTCGTAATTATTTTCACACACTACTGAATTTGCAAGAATCTTACCTAACTCACTATTATTGTTTATGCTACTTACGCAGATAGATATAAGTAGTATTGTAGTGAACAAAACACCAATAGGGAACAATCGAATGTATTTAACAACAAATTACAGAGCATCTCAATAAAATCTGAGAACCATATATTAAATCGTTAATTTGCAAATTGTTCATCAATGGTCTCAAATGACTCAAAATTCCTTTGTTCTTGCATTTCCATACAAATTGAATTCTTTCTTCATTCTTTGTTGTTCGATCTTCTCGTCTCTCTGCTGCCAGACATTCTGTTCAGTACTCACGTTATATACTACTTTTGTCTACATAAGTAGCACACGCGACAGTATGTAGCAGCAATTTGAAATGGAATGCCTGCCATTAGAAGGTTGAACTGAAGAGAACATGAAGAGGAACAGAGAGAGATTGAAGTAACAACAGAATTACAAGAACCATGAAGCATGTAAAGGATAGCTGAAGGAAGATGTATAAATAATGCATTTGATGTATGGTTTTCATATTCTATAAAAACATTATTTAAATAGGAAATCTCACTTTACTAAAATAATCTCATTTTATGGACTCGACCTTATTTGTAATCAAAATCATGATTTGTACTTTAAAGAGGGGTTATTATTAATTACATAGTTTTCGATTCAATTTTCTTAACAATTTTAAAGAATGAATTGAAAGAACGTTGCTTGTCTTCATACGGTTTGATGTTCGTAGATAGGTATTGTTTCCCAATTGAATTAATTTCTATTATCAAAGATGAGATAGGATTACATCGGTAAATGAGTTTGCAAACAAGCAGATTGTTTGAATATATTGTAATAATGTGAAATAGAAGTTTGCCTTCAGTGAATGAATTATAAGTATACTTAACAGTTTTCTTTATCATTGCCGTATTTCTTGTTGTTTTTAATAATTACTAATGTAATTTTCTTTTCTTTACAGGTAGTTGTGATGAGATAAGACGACTGTATTGTAAACATATATTAAAACAATGTAATTACAACTATATTTCAATGAAAAGTATAACAGATCCAGTGAATTTCGATGGAGATAATACTTTCAATTTGGATAAATTAATTCAAATTATTACAGAGGAAATGAGCAGAACACGTAAAGCAGGATATATTATAGATGGTATACCAAACAGTTTGGCTCAAGTCAAAGAAATTGAAGCATATAGTGATTCATTGAAAGTATAACACATAGTTGAGAAATTTTAAGTTGTTTTGATGTTTTTAAAGATCTTTGCCTTTATATACAGCATTTCATGTTTTAATGATGATGCTTACGTTTATTTATTGATCTATGAAATGGTAGTAGATGTAATAGTTATTGTGAATAAAAATACATTAGAAAATTAAGACATTCACCGATGTTAGTTGATGTAGGAGTAAGCTGGAAGAAAGCTATTGGTGGAAAAACTAAAACAGAATTAATCTATGATTGCATTAACTGTTGGTTCAAGTCATATTAATAGATGCAGACTACTTAATTAAAATTCTTGAGATAAATATCATCAACGGTAGAAGATGATAGGTGATATGCTTCATGATCAGTCATAATGGAGGAAATTTGTTCACTGTTTATCTTGCTCTAGATCTTCAGTTCCAGTGTATTATTAATTATACTTTTACTTTTTTTCCTAAATTATGATTTGATTGTTTTATTTTCATTATTGTTGTTACTATATTATTTCTATAGTTCATATTACTGACTTAAGTCTGCTCAAGAAGATATACTATAACCGACAAACTAAGTGAATCCATAGTCTAATACTGTTTGTTCTGTTGTTATCTAGTCAAAAATAATGAGTAAGAAGCTGTAGAACCAAATTTTGTTTTAGTTGAGACTACTGAGTGAATAATGTTCAGATTAGTAGATGCATAGTACAAAGTGAAAATGAAAAACCGACTGATGAATTAGTGAATCAATGCTAAATATCGTGCAGTCATTAATATCATATTATTATAGAAATTTTAGTTTAACTGTAAATTGCAATCGACTTTTAGAAAAGTTTTTGATAGTAGCTACCAACGAATAAAAACATTACGGATAAATTATTAAGTACTATACATGCATTCGTGTAGTATATTTCTGATCTTCAATTCGATATAGTTTCAGAATTTGGTTAATTATGTAGTTATACAACTTGTTAACGGGTTTTCTGTGATGCTATTTTTATGAGTCGATATAATTCTTATACAACCTGAATATTCCAGTCATACTGTTACTTTGAGTTTGTTTGACTTACTACTGATCAGTTATATACATGCGCACTGTAGAGAAGTCCGATGCTAGCACGAACCTGCCGTTCAGTGTTTCGAGGTTTCCAATGGTGGTTTAAGATTGATCAATTCATGATCTCAATCAAAACTCAACAATCTTCACAACCCTATACGATATATTCATTATGGTTTGATCACATGTTGTGTGAAAAGACTAAATACTGAGTGAATATCTACCTCTAGGAATATATATATATAAGTTGGTGTTTGCTACTTTAACTACACAAATTCTGGATTTCAGTAGTCAGTAGTTTACTGTAAGTAACGATAATTATCGAATGTTTTGTACTACTAGTACTATTATTATTACCGATGTTATTATTCGAAAGTAATCCATTGTAAACTAAAAAAATGTTATTTTTTCTTGTTCAAAATGGATATTTTTTTCAAGTTTTCAAATTGTAAACTGATTGTATTATTAGAAGATAAGTTTTCTGAACATGACCATTCCGGAGACAATTCACATTGTTATAAGCATAAAGTTGAGGAAAGTTTAATGGGATTTCTAGAATCTACAAAAAAATTATATCGTGTAAGCTGATTTTTGTCTTTTTTTGCTAATTTTAACTTAATTTCATGAAAGTCTCCTTAACCATGATGAGTTGGCAGCTGATTAAAATTTTAACATTAACTTAGCTTGCTTATTTTCCATTAACTTGATACAACTATAATGTAGTCAAATCATCCATAGTTCAGCTGTACTTTTCATACTTAAACTTCTGATGTGGTAAAATTTATTCCGATCAGTTATCTCTCATATTTTTTGAATTTTCCAATTTCACAATGTTTTTGTAAAGTAAGATAACTACACACTTATGACTGGTTATTTATTGTTAATGAGGGATTTTATCATAATTTCATGTGTCGTTCAGATTTTGTAGTTATTGTTGTAGTATTCTTTTATTTCATTGTATATTTTGAACAATTTTCTTAGTTAATTGTATATGCATAATGAACATTTCATCATTCACATCTACATATTTAAGTTAGTTAAGTAACAAATTTGTTCAGTACAATTAAGTTTACACACCAATGAGCCATAAATTCCCGTGCGAAAACTATAAATTCTATTTAAGCGCACAAAAGTAAATCAAGTGGAGCTATAACTCATGGTCCTGTGAATTATCACGTGACAACATCGCCAATCACAACACAGACTTTAAATGACCCTGGTCATGTGTTAAACTAATGACATGTCAACCATGAGTCAATTTTGAATACTTATTGGTCCTCGATATAGTAGCTCCATGCTTAGGCCTGCCCGTTGAGTCCACTGTATGAATCGTATATTTAAGACATACTCAGTTTATATACCGGCAGACTAGATTTCATAGCACCATAAAATGTAAAAATAATTATTATACATGGTCAAGCTAAAAATGGCTGTGACTGTGGGATACAGTAACGGATAAATTGGGCATAAGTTAAGAATGGTAAATCGTATTCCACTAGCCAATAGGTCAAACGGGAGCTTATAATAAAAGAAATATGAATATACATATAATATAGTTACTTAATATTTGTAATAGTAGTCCATAAATAATTTCTAGCAGTCACCATTTGTTTGCTCTTCGTTGCTATATAGCAAGTAGGATTCGAACCACTAATGTATTGCCTGAACATGGAGTTCTCTAAACATTTAGCTCCACCTCCATGTATTAATTTCTAGATAATTAACGAAATGGATACTACATCGATCACTCTTTTTGTCCATCCAAATCTAATTATTGTAACTGGATATATATCACAATAGTAAGAGAATTCTCTATTCATATTAAATAATCTGTGCTTAGTCAAGTTGTCTGTGTTCTACACCTTATTTACACCGTTGTGATTATATTAAGTATACTTACATTCAATAGTATTATCGAAAATATAGACAACGTAATGCTGATGAGATGTCACTTTTTGTTTCAACATAATCGGTTAGTTTTTCTCAACTATTTAATTAAATTTTACTATTTTTAGTAAAAAATAATACCTCCGCCCTCAATATAATTGTTTACTGTAAAACCGGTTTATCGAACTTTTTCTTATAATTAAAATTCAGTTTTAATTATTTATATATATAGACTGTAATTTATTTGACTTTCATGGGTGTGACATATTTCATGTTTGCTTTTTTGGAATAAATAATTGTATTCAAACAAATGTTTTGTTTATTTATTAAAGTCACTATAGTAACTAGAAACAAATAGTAATTGAAGTATCAGTTCATTTAGATCTCCAAATTTATATATATATATATATATATATATATATATATATATATATATATATATATATATATATATATATATATATATATATAAACTTGTATGTCATTTATAATCCTATCATAATTAGAGAGTAAGTACAGTATACACATCCACTTATACAGAAATATATATTTCCTTAAATAAAATGGGGCTTTACTCTAGATTTATTATCAAGCTATCAAATTGTTGATTCGTGTTATTGATACATTATTCATATAGCCTGAAGTTTTAATACAAAGGATTGAGTAATAAATCTAGTGAAAAATTCGATCTACAGCTAGCGGATACTATGATAAATAGTACACAACAATACTTTTAACAATGATAAGTTCACACGACTAAGAAGGCAGAAGAAGAAACTTTGTGAGTAAGAATAATCAAGCATGTAACATTATGGCACATTTCATACTTTTAATGGTACAGTATTTAATAAAATAAGTATTAGCTTTATCAAATTACAAGTGTTACGGTAACAGTGAAGTATGTATCGTCACAATCATAAAAGTTGTAACAACAACGTTAACAGATCAACTCAAAAATCTTGAGTTTTGCATTTGAAGTTATATATATATATATATATATATATATATATATATAGGTTATTTGTTCTTAGAATCAAGGGTGAAACATTAAGGATGGGTGATGTAATAGTTAAGTGGAGTTCAGAGGCATATAAGGTTGTAGGCTGCTGATGAGAAAGCACGAAATACACTGACTTCATATTCTTCTGCATCAATATTTGTTCTGGCTGTAACACTTTGTGTTTGCCCTTGTTTATTTATAAATTACTGTAATATATGTAATTAATGCCTTTTTGTTTTAATTCAAAATTTTATAGATACCTTGTTCACAGAATGAAGACGAAATCGCTTATCAATTACATAATTTGTTCTCATAGTCTGTAATCATCACTAAAAGTTTTTTTTATTGTTTTCTTATCTCTTCAATATTCAATGTTTTGAACGTTGGAAGTTTCATTCTTATAGCTTTAGACAAATTATACTTTTAGAATATATTTACTTCTTAAAGAAAGATAATCTGTTGTGTTTTATTTTTTAGAAAATAACCAGTTTATTTGTTTCATTAATTAATTGAACAGTATATATGTAAATCTGTCGCTCTCATGGGTAGGAGTATATACTTTGTAAAACTACAACCAGTATGAACTACATTCTAACCGTTAAAATAATACTTTACCAAAAGGAGTGTCATTTGCTCTGTCTTGTTCTTTTTTTCAATATTCTTTCTTAGTTTTTAGGTGTATTTTATTTAAATTAAATTTGTTTGCCTGGAAGAAAGATTCTACTCTCTTTTTGATTTTAGACACTTAATACTATAAATTAAACAAAAGCGGAATTTGTGTTTGTGTCATTCAATAATTGGTCACATCTATTACAATTTATACGATATGAAATAATCTGAATAGTAAAACTAACATCATATATCTGTGAGGACCTTCATTTTCTACGATAGGTGACCAGATGAATTGTTATTCAGTTCGAAATATGATTAAACGAGGAAATCAATCAGTATTGTGTGTTTTCCATATTAAATCCTAGCTTGCATGAAAACAGTGTTATCCAACTGTTTGAATCATTATCTTAATTAAACTGGATTTTGTTGTTAATCGTAAAACACAATTCTTGTACGTTTCTAAATTAAAATTAATGTACAGAATGTAATATTTTCACTTAGATGAACAAACAAGCATGTTTGTGGTGTATGCTACTTATGTTGACAGATATAAGTAGTATATAACACCAGTCAAAAGTGGAATGCATGCCAGCAGAATATTGAGGAGATTCAATTCAAGAGAACAGAAAATTATTGTAATAACAACAGAATGAAACTATAGTAATTCATAGAATTATCATCAAACGTTATGATCTCTCCCTCTATCTTTGGTAGGTCCAAAGCTTTAGATATAATTGCTATTGAGTCCTTTCCATGAGGAACACCGACTGTATGTGTGACTGATGTAGACTCGTACGACACCATATTATCAGCCACAACTTGACTATAATGTTCTCTTCTCTCTAAACGTGACTTTTCCAACTCAATTTCTCTTTCTGTTTGAGCTTAGCGTATTTTAACTAATTCTAACTATAACAGCGGATCCGCTCGGTAGCTTCAAACTGGTCATCAGTACGAGTTTCTGAATAGTGAAGAGACAATTCAGAAATCTGATCAATTTTACGATTCGCCGTAAACATTTAACAGAACTCCATGTATGAATTTCTGGAGAGTTACTGATCGAAACTTCGTAAGATTTAATTTGTCCTACAGATATCCTATGGGAAGTGTAAACACGACACTGACGACTCAGAATCTATGTGAAAGCTATAGTCAGAATAAAGATAATTTGGCTTTGAACTTTATCTGGTTCTAAAGGCAAAAACAGAAAGACAATTCGATTATTACACTAACTGAAGGAATTGTAGTCAAACATTTAAACGAACAACATACCGATCATTTTTAAATGCCTTATTAGAATGAATAATAATGTCTTCCAATTGGTAGGTCACATGTAACAGGAATAGTCTACAGACACATCAGGCCAGTTGGCGTGATGAGCGTTTAGGCAACGATTTGATTGGTTAGTTATCAACACAACTAACAGTACAAACTTCGACATTTGCCTTCTTTAGTGAAACAGGTCGGTAGACAGCATTCTCACGTATTTTTGTTGGTTTTGTGAGTAGAGTCCATGTCAACAACTAGAAATTATTTACGTAATGCTAGTTGATCGTAGCTAGTAAAGCACATTCTATTTGCGAGTCCGTCAGCGTGAAAAAATTCTGGCAATTTATCTCCTTGTTTTAAGGAACTGAAAACTTGCAGTCAAGTACCACAGCCTGAAAATATGAGTACGTAAATATACGAGGACCGTAAAATCATACTAGTCTATACGCGCATAAAAGACCACAAGCACTTCAAATATGGAATGCTTGCCGTCGTTCAAGAATGTAGAAATCAACCTCGGTCGGGTACGAAAGTCCATTACTTTTGTTTCGTTTCGTGACCGCAAATCTGCCCCGAATTTCAGATTGACCTTTGATATTCACAAGTGATAATTGGTTATTCATTCACAAGCTTGAGTGTTGAGTGGCCCATCGCTATATGTAGCTTGATCTCGGTAAGTCGCATTGAGCATGTAGGAAACTCCGAACTGATCAATCGAGCAATTTAGGAAAAATATGAATTTGCTAAGAGTTTAACTTGATCAGATGCTTTTTTGTTTATCTATTAGAGAGGCTTGCATACCGTGTAGCAGAGGGCGGTGACTTCGATTTACCTAATGTTTTCGATATCTTTGATTGGAAGTTTCCATTTCAACTGTTATATGGTACTACAATGTGTCGTAAATTCATTATATACAGTAATGAAATGTAAGGTAACGTTCAGCATAATTCGTCTGAGCCTTTGGGAATCCAGTTTCTTTGTTTTGCGTTTTTCTGTATAAGTCAGATAAGAAGTAAGAAGTCATGTAAAAACCGCATTTCAATCTTCTGTCGGTTCAGCAAACACATGCGACTAAAATTGTTTGGGCGGTATCCTAGTTGGAGGGAGAACACACCCTACGCAGAATCATTTTACATCGTTTAAAATAGAGGTTACGATTGATAAACTTAATAAGTCTACTGCCTTTATAGATCTGAGATGTAGCTTGTTTAGTGAATAAAAAATGTTGGAATATATCACACTCAAATCTCAAATGCTGCATAGGTGTCAAAATGTTAGATAGAAAAGACCAAACTTTCTACAGACCAGCCCCATTGTTCCCAATACCATCAAAAGTAATGGAAAAACTGGTAAACGTGAAAACAAGGGAATGCATGGACAAAAAATAACATCAGGAAATACAGTTCCTTTGGGTTCAATCTACTCATAGGACACGAAATCTAGAAGACTTGTTAAGACCATAAGATACAGGTTCATATATTATTCCTAGAACTTGCAACAGTCTGAATATCAGGAGTTTCTCAAGAAACAATCTTCCGTCTACTTCTGTTTCTTAATAATTGCTGACGAATTATTAGATATAATTGACTCGGAACAACATTTTATGAACATTCTGCTCCACGACTTACTGTGGTGTTTGAATGAACTAATGACTCTTTTGTACTTGTTGAATGTTTGATTTCGAAATTCTAAATACAGTACATTTGTTAGTGCTTGTGTAATACTTCTTGATTCAATTGCGTTATCTCTGGGATTCTTAGTTCATACTATAATTCAATTACTCCTAATTATCATACACATCTACTTACTTACTTATGCCTGTTACTCCCAATGGAACATAGGCCGCCGACTAGCATTCTCCAACCCACTCTGTCCTGGGCCTTTTTTCTAGTTCTATCCAATTGCTGTTCATTCTTCTCATGTCGATCTCCATTTCTCGGCGTAATGTGTTCTTTGGTCTTCCTCTCCTCCTTCGACCCTGAGGATTCCATGTGAGCGCTTGTCTCGTGACGCAGTTCGGTGCTTTCCTCAATGTGTGTTCTATTCACTTCCAGTGCTTCTTCCTGATTTCTTACTCCACTGGGATCTGATTTGTTCTCTCCCACAGTAGGTTGTTGCTAATAGTGTCCGGCCAGCGAATCTGAAGTATTTTGCGTAGACAACTGTTAATAAACACTTATATCTTTTGGATGATGGATTTCGTAGTTTTCCAGGTTTCCGCCCCATACAGTAGAACTGTCTTGACATTTGTATTAAAAATTCTGACCTTGGTGTTGATTGACAGTTGTTTTGAGTTCCAGATGTTCTTCAGTTGTAAATATGCTGCTCTTGCTTTGACGATCCGTGCATTCACATCTGCATCAGATCCACCTTGTTCATCGATGATGCTGCCCAAATATGTAAAGGTTTCGTAAAAGACGCGCAATTTGATGTAAATCGTCTATAAAAACTTACAAGGCCGTTAAATATGCGTAGTTGCTTAATGGTAATCGGTTCTGGTTCATTCAGAATGGCCGGATGTCTTGCGCATCAATGGTGTGTCCTGGGAAATCAAAGGAATCGGTCCCGATTTGGCATTTCTGAATGTTTACAGTAATGCCATGTTTTTGCAGTTCTTAGAAAACAATGTCCAGGTGCTGGAGATGCGATTCTCTGTCCGGACTTGCTATCAAGCAGTCATCAACTTACGCATGTGTAAAGTTGAGACCTCAATAAACGATAATTATGAACCCTTGGAATGTTTGGGCAGCATTTCTTAGGCCGAAAGGCGTAAATTCGTAATTCGGTTATACGCTTTAACCAAGTCGATTTTCGAAAAGACAGTTGAATTTCTTAAGGTAACTGTCAAGCCGTGAATATAAGGTAAGGGGTAACGATCTAGAACGATTTTGGCATTCAATCGCCTGTGGTCACCAGTTGTACGTCAATCGTTGCTGTCCTTTTTAGGGACCATGTGCATGGCAGATGCCCGTGGTCTGTTTGACGGCCGTATGATCTCTAAGTTTATCATGTTGTCGAATTTGTTTTTCGCCAACTTGAGCTCTTCTGGGGCTAATCGACGTGGGTTAGAGAATACAAGTGGTCCTGTAGTCGTAATGTGATGTGAAACATTGCTGGTTATACATGGCAATTTCGAATGAGCTTATAATATCCCAGAATACTTATCGAGTAGCGGTTGATAGAGTGGGTCTATTGTGGGCTTAATTGTGACTAGAGATAATGTGCTACCAGAAAAAGAAGTTAGGTAAACAGATAAATTAGTGTTTCCGTCTTTTAGCCTCTATCTGAGCGTATCGATGATTAGATTGTGGTGTTGTAGGGGGTCTATACTAACGTCTGCAACAACAAAGATCCAGTGTATGGGTTCGCGTAAACCCACCTTAGGGTAAACGTACCTTTTACTATATGTGGCGATTGGCTTTCCGTTTGACGCCTGTTGGACTGAAAGCGATTCGTGACGCCGGTCGTTATAATTCGCTGAAAGAACTCTAACGTCTGCGCCAGTAACGCCGGTGTAGCGATTTTTTGTCATCACATCTATGTCGTATAACAAACGGCTATGTTTGTCAGCTATGGTTTCCGTTAATGCGTACCGGCCTGGAAGTCTCCCGAAACATTTTTCTTGCCGATCAATTTCGAATTGAAAAAGTTGGAGGGTTTTCTACAATTTCTGGAGGACTTTCCATACTGGTTATGATGCCAGCACTAGTCGGGGTTATCCGTCTCTCTAGGTCTAGAGACAGATCGCCTACGTGAAGTGCTTGTTCGTGGGGTGTGTGACCGTTTGCGGTCGTTACGAAATTTAAGACAACGTGTAAGTGTATGACAGAATTCTGTAGCGTCATTCTGGTTCGTTTGAGATTTTTCTTTGACCAAAAAAACCTCGGTATTAGATTTAATGATTTCAAGGATACGGTCGGCAAATACAGCCAGCTCATCTATGGCGTTGTTTTGAAATGAGAACAGTACAGCTTGCTTCTGTTGAGGAAGCTTAGATTAGAAAAGTTGTCTGAATAAGCCATCATCGAAACCTCTTTGGCCGATAACGTCTCTCATTCTTAGCAACATGTCTGTCACAGAACCATTTTCTCAGGTCGATGTTGTTAAGGAGTTGGTCTAACCTTTGTCGATCGGTTAGATCTCTGCGTTTAAAGATGGATCGTTTCAAGATTTCGTATGGTTCAGAAACATCACTAGTAAACATACTACGTGTTACGTACCTGTTGAATTTGAGCGGTAGCGCCATGACTACTGCGAGGAATCGTAAACTTGTGTCGCCCACGCCGTGCTCGTAGAAGTTGGCTTCTGCATAGAAGGATCAAGCTTCGATGTTGTCTAGCTAGAAGGGCATATAGTGAAACGAAAGCGCGGACGTAGTCTCTATCCAAGTACCTTGGGTGCCAGTTCCGTCACGGCGAAATAACGAGTACGAGAATGAACGAGTGAAAAAAATATCCAAAAACACGGAAAAAATATCACAATGTACAAAAATATCTAATAAGACATTGATATATAGAATTCCATAAAGGAATAGACTCACATTTGCAATTTGGTGTACCAAATCACGTTAGGCTCGTCAATGAAGATGCCACATGCATTTGGGATTTGACAACAATTTAAATAGTAACACCTAATATGGATCGTACGTACCAAGTGAAATGAAAAGACTGAAGCGAGGAGGTAAAAAGAAATATTTGATGGACTACCAATGTATCGAGGATCGACTGATCTGATCTGGCTAGCGACTGCAAAGGGTGTTGAGCACGACGTTTCCACTCGTGATCTGGTGTGGATGCATGACTGAGCGACTTCAGCCAGGTGATTCCATTAAACTAGTGTGGTAAGCATCCAATGCCGAAAACTTACAGAGCTGTTGATTTTGGGGATTTATTTACATCTATATTTATTCCAATTTAATCATCCTACCAGAGCATCACACTCAAGACAACCCCTGTAAAAGTGCACACCAGGGCAAGAACAACCAGGTACGCCATCACTTTTTGTCATTAAGGGATTCCTCAACTCAGAGTACGCTCCTAACCGGAATAGCCACTGATCCATCAGTAGATGGCTCTAAGAGAAGATTCGGCAACACGCAATCACTCGTGAATTACCAACAATCGCTTGGACTATCTGCACCACATGACCCATAAATTGTCTACTATAATCATCACCTTATACCAGCAACTACTCCTTATCTAGCTTATTATCATCTGAGTTGCTTCTTTTATTCTTAAACGTCCGCTTTATCGTATATTCGTAAACACGCCTGTAATTAAAATGTTGCACGAATTCCAACTTTCCTAAAAGACATTTCACTGAATTTCAGTACCCCTCCTTACATTAATTATGTATATATGTATGTAGATGTCGGTTGTTTTCTTAATTGCATATATACGTTTTGCTGAAGATTCTATATTGTACCAAATACATAATATCGTTGACTGAGCGTTTAGAAATCCGTGCGTCAATACAACATCGTTACAAAGATATTGGATTTCGGATATCGCATCAATAACAGTAATGATATAATCAGGAGAATTAACACATGTAAGAATGTTGTTTGGTAGATATTGGAGATTGTATACTATTCACTGTTATTGAACCCGCTAACAATAAAAGGACAAGGTGTTTTCGCCCCACATTCATATATAATGCATCAGTCTATCTGAATGACACTGTTTAAAATTAATGAAAGCCTCAAGATCAAATAATTTGACGCATGATGATGGAATGATGTATGTTTAATGAATGAAATACATAACACTGTAGATTGATTCATGGATCAATCTATTGAAGATGCCAAGACTCTGACTATCAGGGTGATCGACCATATGTGTAAAATCCCCTCAGAACAGGGATGTGGTTCAAATGAATTCAAATCAATCATTCACCTTTTTGACAGGAGTTTTTTTGCCATTGAGAATTCTAGAAACGTAGTGGAAGACTATCGTCTTTGGATAGCTACAAAAATTTTATCAAGCGGTGAGTATCCACAGTGTCTTACTCAGATCTTTACTGACTTGGGAGAATATTCTTTCGGATCTCTGAGTGTTGAGAAAGAGTCTTACGATGAACAGTACATTGAATTGCTATCATCCTTTCAGTTGACCTTGTGCAATTATCTTGAACTGAGTGAATTACTGGCAGAGAAAATGTCAATGCAAGATACTTATTTGAGTGAAATATATCGTATTCATCAGGCTATATTGTCTTACGACGGAACTTGTGATGAGAAAAATGTAAGAATGTCAAGCTAACTTTAATTTGGGATTATTCCTTAGAAAATCACGTTGGTGGTAGAAATAGTTTTAAAAACCCTTTATAACATGCTCCAACACGAAAGCCCAACCATACGTTCTGCCCTCAAGAAGCATAATCTCACAGATATTGTTACACATTATGCAAAGTCCACGAATACTAATTTGCAGGTATGATAATAACTGATATCCATTTTTTAGATAGCTTCTTATCTAAGCTTAGCGTACATTTATAATGAAGAAGATCAGCTAATACCTGAAGCAGACGAAAATATAAACTTTTTGGTAAATATGCTTGCTTCTGCTCTTGAGAACCCCTCGACAAGGATATATGGTTACTCAATTGAAGAAATCTTAAGAGGATAGTTTCGTTTACATGTTTTATTTACTTTAGTTATCATCATATTGTTCACAGTTTAACAAACTTAATTAAGTGTTATGGATAGCTTCTTTTACATTGGAGGCGCGAATTCCTACTTCTGTATCTGAAGAAGTTGAATGAAAATCCTTTGTTTCCCCAATTTATTTGTATATTTTACTTTTCCTCAATCCCTTACTCATAAGTTTTGTAAAGAAGAAGAAACTAAACGGGCTTGACTTTTGAGAGTTGTTTTTACTAAATACCCGATCTCAGCAGTTATTTAAGATATCAACTCCACAAATCTGTTTATCTCAGTTGAATACTGTGTGCTAAGAAGTCTTCATGAAACAGATTATTATTTAGTGGTTTTTCTTACAGAAAGTTAAATATTTCATAATCGCTATTTCATACGATAGGCTTTTCAACGAGATGCTGTCGACCTCGTAACCGATTCTCTACACTTGATGGTCATTTTTAGTAGAGTGCTTTGTAAATCTTTTGATTGCTGCATGTTACATGGTCGATACTTACTTAACAGTGTTCCTAAACGTTATTCAATAATAACTAGTCGTAAAAGTTCAGAGTCAAATATTATAGTTCAATTATGATACATGAAATACTGTTGAATGTTACAAAAGCACAGACGATTAACGGGCCGTCCTGGTGAAAGTAAGATTCCACGGAACTGTAAAAAACGGTAGGTTACACAAACGAATGTTACAATTGTAATAGTCCATAAACAATTAAAGAGAAATCAGATGATAATTCAGAACGGTTTCATACATCCCAAATAAAATAAGATTCCATGCATAACGCCATATAAATAAATTCGAGTTGTTTGACCAAAAGGTAACAGTATTATTTGCTAAGAGATTAAAATAAACCATTAATTGTTTAAGTATTAAAAAAATCAGAAGCCGGTTGTCAAAATTACAGCGACGATTATTTCAATTACCCACAGAGCCTTTAAAATAGAACTAGGCCATCCACAAATACCGTCACTAACTTGGGTCAGTCTAACTGTTCAGTGCTTTCTCATCTGCTTGACAAATTTATCTTTTTGATCGGTGTTTTATCGGTTGTTAGTTTCAATAATTGTCAATTTTCAAACCTAACAACGTTTATTCCTAATTTTCGGCCAATCGTCTGTAAGGTTCTGTTTGGTCTTGGGTTAACTCATCGTATTTTAATTCTCATTTAGGTATAAATTGTCACTGTGAGCGTCAATACTGACATGCAGATATATTGGGTTGATAAGCCTTATATGTGATAAAGAGGGCAAACTGAATTCTACTTCTAACTGAAATGTCTATGTTACAAAAACAAAAAGCTTTCAAAATTTTGTCTCAGAAGGCTACCCCACAACACGTACACAAAAAGAGACAATAAGCAAGGAAATTTTATCGAAAATTTTAGTTGAACTATGGACTTTTACAATGAGTAATTCTTAATTGTGTCATTAATTTGATCAAAGTCAGAATCACTGGAAGCTTCCATAGGTAATATTAGAATAACATTCAAAAAATACACGATACACCAAAAAACAGTTTCTTGATATAAAAAAGGTTGAATTTACTGTCAACAAAAATGTTTTTTTAATGATACTTACCAGTAACCAATAGGGGAGTCAGTTTTTGCTACTGGGTGATCGATTTGTCAGTTTTACTTTGAGAACGGAATTTATGCCGTCCAAATATAGACAATCTGTGTTCTTTTTTCATTACTTTTACAGGTTTGAGACTATTAGCATCTAATGATCAAAACAGACAGTCCATATGTCAGTCGGCTATACTACAAAGCATTCAGTGCACTGTAAAAACACTGAAAGGAAAAGTTTTGGAACAAGTTATACTCTTTCTATTGAAATTAACATTCGACTCTGGAATAAGAGACAGAATAAGAAGAGACTTTGAGGCTATTTTGAAGGATTTAGATATACTTTTCAAAGCTGAAGAGTCTGAAACCTCAAATAACATAAAGAAGGCGCTTAAAAGCATTTTATGGCAGATGAGTCGAGGTAAGTATATATATATATATATATATATATATATATATATATATATATATATATAGACAATCAGATATCAAACCAGTACTTTACGTAAAGGTGAAATTCTATGGTATTTAAATAACACACATAGTTTTCTGAAAAGCAAATGCAGTACATTTATCTAGTATATATATCCCACTTATCGCCGAATCAAAAGTAATTCACAAAAGTTATTCGATACTCAGACATAAAATGGTGTTCATAAAAATTCCTTCTCTTGAGTTATGGACAAGTCATAGGAAATGTAGAATTGCAAAGATTCTGGGCCAACATTGTAACAAATACAAAGTCGTTTTATCAAATTGGTTCAATGTACTTGACTAAAAAAAATTAAAAAAACGAGGATATGATTTTTTCAACCATAATCTAACATTTCCCTATAAACCTTCCACTATTCATCATAAAGTGACTACCAACGACATCAAAGCAAATACTCAGTGGTAAATAGATTTTTATATTTGCCATCTGGATATATCAAATTTAAATTTGTTAGTAACCCTCTATCCATTAATCATATTATTTGAAATTATCAAAGCCAACCTTGGTATTAATACCAATAATCAACAGATTTCGAATATGACAAATAATTTACTTATGTATAAATTTAAAATAGGTATAGTCGTTATTACTATGCGTTTGAAATAATATTCATTATTTTCAAATGAATAACCTTTCTCAATATGTCTAGCTTCAATCAATTTGTAATATTGTTTGACCATTTTCCACTTTTTTGAAGCACTATTTTTACAACCAACATAACTGCTTAACTAAGATTGGTTTGAAACTTCAGTGGTATAACACATAGTCAGAAGTTTTCAATCTAAGATCCCATTCTTAAACAGTCACAGAAAACCAATAGGCGAAATATAAACTGGAATATAGTGAATTCTTTTTTAAATTGCCGAAATAATAGTGAGTGTAAAGTAGTAATAAATTAGAATATACGCAACCTTCATCTTTGAGATATAAAGGAAAAGTGTCAGAATTTAGTTAAATGTATTGAATAATCAATATGTAAACCAAGCGACAGAAAGCCTATATAAACATTTAGCTGGAATATAATTTATTTTAGTGATTGCTAGACACGTTTCCCAAATTCATCAGCAAAAGGAAGAGATATTTATGGATTTCTATTGTTTATTAGGAATTTTTTGAAAGATAAAATCAGACATTTTTTATATAGTTGCTCATAATTGAAATAATTATTTTGTAGTAGCTCTAGTAAAATCTATGACTTTGATTATAAATTTCATAGTTAGAAGTATGTATATCACGAGAAAGATTTCAAATTTTCCTGTGATAAAAGAATAAATTACATGGTATATCTTGTGGAATCCGATAAAAACCTACTTTGATTTGCCTTATTTGTATATGTGACTAATTTCTTGCCGCCCAGTTTATTTCTATTACTACATGTTTATTTTTATGTTTTATTTTTCATATATCGTGACGAACGTTTCAATGTATTATGAATACATTGTTTAAACCGCGTATAATTGCCTACTTCAGCAAAATATAACGTCTTAAAAAATTTTCCTCTGATAATAAAAAATAGTTTTTCTTTACAACAGTTTCTTAATGAAATAGCCTGTTCATTTCCTAACCTGTAACTATTTCATGTTTAACCAAGAATCATTTGCGTTTAACACTGATCTTTTTCTATTCTTAGTTTTCTGGTAACTTATGTGGTCTCATTCCCAATTCCTTTTTTACTGTAATTGATTTACATTTTATATACTAATTTTGAAGTACTGTAATTTAAAACATTATATTTTTGCCCCTAGGTTATTACTATTTTAACTCACTTTCATCAATCAGGTGATTAGAAGGTTGTTGTAGTCTATTAAAAGTTTGTACTTGTTTTTCTCTAATTGCTAGGACTTTTACCCGTCGAGAGCCTACCGTTAACAATGAATTAGGGGTTAAAGGCATAGACTGTTCATTAGAGATCTCCTTGCAATAAGCTCCAACTCAACGACAATATAACCAGTGGTATCTTGAGTGACAGAATAATCACAGGTGATATAAAAAAGATTTATTTAAATAAACTTTTTCTGTGATTTTCCAGTTGACTTATTGTGCTTACTTACTTACTTACTCCTGTAACTCCTCGTGGAGGAGCATAGGCCGCTCACCAGCACTATCCATCCAACCATATTCTGGGCAATCCTTTCCAGTTCATAAGAGTTTCAAATAACTAGTATGTAAGTGAAAACAATATCGTTTGAATATATATGTATATAGTCTTCATTTATGAAAAATTTCTCCTGACATTCTATTGTTTCAATTCCATATTTTAGATAAGAATTCATTAGATTATGAATCCAACTTGAATTCTTCTACTCACCTTGAACATTTAATGATAAGTTATAGTCATAAACAGAAAGAAATCGCAATAAATCTTACAAAACATTTAAAAGAAAAAGGATATAAGGTTAGTGAATTTTTAAAAAACATCTTCAAACTTTACATTATTTGACTGCACTAATAAAAATTAACAATAAAATTGAGATTTCTCTCATCATTATTGAGAAAATGTTCCTGTTTTTATGTATTCTCATAACAGTTTATATTCCATTCAACACCTACTTACTTACGCCTGTTACTTGTCGTGGAGGAGCATAGGACGCCCACCAGAACTCTTCATCCAACCCTTTCCTTTCCAGTTGCTACTCATCCTTTTCATATATGCTTCCGATTCACGTACTGTGTTCTTTGGTCTTCCTCTTCACGATTTCAAGTTAGAGCTTGCCTCGTGATGTAGTTTGGTAACTTTCGTAATGTGTGTCCTATTCTCTCCCAACTTGTTTTCCTAATTTCCTCCCCAGCTGGAAGCTGGTTTGTTCTTTTCCACAGAAAGCTGTTGCTGATAGTATCCGGTCAATGGATGTTGAGTATCGTGTGTAAACAACCATTTATAAATACTTATTATTTATTATTATTATTTATTTTAACACATAAGTATAGGTACAGGGAGGCACCAAATACATATGCGCCACACGAATCTCAATTGATTTGTGTGAGGGCTGTGATACTGCTCGGGTGCCCAAACCGAAGCAGGTGGTTGTCTTAGGGGGCCACACCCCGAGCCTTTGACCTGAACGTCTGACCCACAAGGCAGTGGAGCATCGTAAGGAGATGCAGTCCCATGGTAGCCGGTGACCAACGATTGGTTCATACGCCATTTGTTCCTTCAGGATACTGGAGCCCATGTGCACCATTGGTTTGGGGTCCGGTTAAAGCGCCGGACATTCGCTTTTCGTCCTCTCATTTTTGTAAAAAACACCCCCGCCACGAGAAGGCAGTGAGTAGGACTTCCCTGGCAGAGGCTATATACGCATGGCCATGTGAGAGCATTTCGAGAGGGAGAGCGGACTCTCCCCACTCTCGGCCGTACCAGGGCATTTGGGGGCTTATAAATACTTGTAACTCTAGTAGAGATACAGGCCGAGTTTAAAGCCTTGTGTGTAGGGCTGCCAAAGAAAACTTCGATACTTGATCGACGGTTCTTAGCAAGCAACAAATTAGAACCGTGACCATTATCAAGAAGGTTATAAATACTTGTACCTTCTTGATAATGGTCACGGTTCCAATCTTGCGATTTGTTGCTTGCTAAGAACCGTCGATCAAGTATCAAAGTTTTCTTTGGCAGCCCTACACACAAGGCTTTAAACTCGGCCTGTATCTCTACTAGAGTTACTGCCGGTCCCAAGCTCGAGTAAAGGTAGAGCGTTGGGCATGAGTTCAGCAACCCTATACTGTAGAAAAAATCTTGCTCATAAAAATGTCAACCAGATTCTAAACAATAGATTAGTAATATTTAAATGTCATTATTAACACTGCTAAAAAGTAAAATATGAGTGTTCTCCTTTTTTTCTATTCATTGACATCTGAAATGATTCATGACTAATATAAGTTAACTGTACTCGTAATGCTTGATCAAATGTTAACATTAATTCTTTCTATCATTTCATATTATTCATTAAATACAATAAAATTTATAATTCAGCTATTTATTTAATGTATAATTGTGATGATCAAATAGATGCATGAAATACAAAAAAGTCCTATTTATTAAAACAAAACACAATTCTTACAATTTGATTTGCATTAAAAACTCGAAAATTGTTCATTTTAAATTACAAATAAGATGAGAAGTTTGTGAAGTTGTTTTTTCCTGAGAATAGTAACAAGAATTGATATCATCTAGACTATCGTTAAAATTGAAAATAAAAATTTCTCTTAAGTTGAGACTTATCAACAGTAATCAAACACAGTTACATCTTGAATCTAACAGATTGATTTCGAATCTCATAAAGAGTGTATTACTATCAGAACATCACATGAAACTCTTAGCAGTGCATATGAAACAAAGGTAAACAACGTTTTCTCAAAGGATGTAACAGAACGTCACTAACTGTTCGATTATTCAAAAGCTAGTTGACACTAGTGAACGAGACCACATAATTGGGAACAGCCAAATGTATTAGAATACGAAATTACTGAACATTTTTCTAAAATCTGACAACCATACAACAAATACTTCATTTGCAAAATATCAATCAGTTGTCCCAGGCATTTCACTTTCGATTGATGACACATATTATTTATATCTATCGACATCAGTAGCACAAACCACAACACAACATGTTCGAAAAATCAAGGTTAATAAAAGCTTATCTATTAATTTAAATGGTGCAAACCACTAGTGGGTTCCGATTATTATTGATAGTTATTTAAAAATGACTCTCTATATGTGTTGATGTTTTCATTGTATCAGGTATGGTTTGATCAAGACAATCTGAAATATGCTGTAAATACATTTAGAAGTTTGGCTGAAGCCATAGAAAAATCTTACGCTGTATGTATTATATATTCCGAAAATTATAAAAATAGCGAATATGCTGAGATGGGTAAGTGAAATTAATTTAAAAGAATAACCAAATGCACTGAGTACAGTTTGATGTATTTTTCCTTGAACACTAATATTATCCGATTGGTTAAACCAAAATCGATTGATTGCTACATTTACTCTTTGATTGTACAGTTGAAAGTAGACAATGCTTAACCGCTAAGCTAACGCTTTATAATGATTCTTACTGGAAATTACATATAACTGTTACATAATGTGCATTAAAATATGAGATTGGTACAGCAATATATTAGTTACCAATCGAATACCGAAAAACTATTATTCAATTTACTACAATTATTACGATTAATGTTTTTAAATTTAAATCATTATAATCATCTATATATCGATAATTGTGTATATTTCTTTAATAGCGATAGTATTTCTACCGGTAATTGTCTTTAGAGCACATCATTGTACGTAATCTACCCGATGAAAGTTTATTTAATAGTTGTGACAACTTTATATAATTTGAAGTATATGCATTGGTTACAAGCTACATATTTTAAAGCCTCATACTACTCTCCATCTTCATTGTACCAAATATTTTTGAAAATCATCATAAATCAGAACTTACAGTTATTTTATCGTTTTACACTTAATTAAAACCAAGTTCTTAAATTTTTGAAATCGTTTCTCAAGTGCCGTTTATGTTTACAATAGCTGCCAGTACTTACGGATGTTTCTTTTTAAGGAATTACTAGACCTCATTATAAAGTACATGTAATAAAGAGAATATCTTACTACCAAAGTATATCTAGTTACGAAATTCTTAAAAACTGGTATCATCATTTTCATAATTGTTCAACCTAAAATAAATTACTGTATTCATTTCTCTAAAGGTAGTTGTAAATAGTTTACAGTAATTCAAGCATTTACCAGAAGAATAAAGTAAAAAACTTTGTGTTTGTTCAGTTGTAATAACACTTACTATTAGTACCAATATAATGAACACACAAATAAACTCGATTTTAACATCTTAAATTTATTGGTTAGTAAACGATCTACGAACTACAAACCCAATATTTTGAAGGTTTTCATCAAGTTGTGGTCTTGTTTATTTTGCGTCAAAGATTTTGTGAATTTTCACGTCATTCAGTTATGCAGTAAAACCTTAATTTTGCTCACTAGTTATTCCTTGTTATAATAACTTTCCACTACGTGCTTGGGCCATTTATTTGAATTTGTGTGCAATCATTGCCAATCACAGTTAAGTTCGACAATCGGTCAAAAATATTTCATTATATAAGCAATCATTTGCCTGTTATAACAAAAAATCATTTCACAAATAAATCTAATTGATTTTTAACATTACGCTATTAATTATTTCAACATATATTTAAAGTATGATATCATGGATTAAGTTTGATAAAACACTTGTTTTGCCGCAATATGTGACACCTTGGAAGTGAGCATCTACAACTTGAGCAAAGATATGAGCCAGGACCTTCAGGCCTTTTCTAGTTATCATCAGCATGAATCATATTGAATCTCACCAACTATATTCTTCGATTAGACTGTTGAAGCGTAAATTTTGTTATCATTTGTATTTGAAATGTTATTAAATTGCCAAAAATGCATTGGATTCTACACTTGTTGACTTTTTTCTGTTAGCTTACATTCTCATATTGTGAACACAGTTGAATCTGAATAATCATATGCAGTGAATTCATTGTTTATAATGACTGAATGATTAGTCAGTGGCTATTCTAAAAACATGACTAAATGTTGAAGAATAAAGCATTAAATATTATCTAGTAATGTCTGGTTTTAACTCTTAGGTTTTATTTATTATGAAAATACAAATGAACGTTATACTTAAAAAGAAATCGGAACAGTTCATAGTTATCAACTTGATAAAGTATTTTAATTTTCCGGTGTTAAGTAAATAATAAATCTTTTTTATTGAATAGAAGCAACATATGCAATTTGTTTGAAAAAACCAATTATTTGTTTACGTGCACAACGTGACTACAAACCAAAGGGTTGGCTAGGTCTTATAACTGCCCGAGAAAATCGTATTGACATTTCTGGAAAATATCCATTTGATGAGTATTTTTCTACTTTATGTCGAAGAATCGATGAATGCACAAAAATCAAAACGGATCATTGTAGGTGATCATGTATGTCATATCATTTGTCAGTTATTATTCATCATATTATTTATCGGCAATATAATCTTTTTTTTAATTGATACTAGCGAATATTAAAATAGGAATAATTAATGAAGCCCTAAAAGACTTTTATATCACAGTTGAAATGAAAGTATATATTTTGTATTTTTCAAATGACTAAGATCAACATAGAAACTAGTATGATTTGAAAATGATTTTTTGTTACGAACTAAATTCCAATAGAAAACTATTTTGGAAGATGAAAATTTCAAAACCATTTTGATATAAAAAACATTTAACAGCTGTTTCATTCTAGTATTGAACTCCAAATTAGTAAGTACTAATAACTTAGATACAATTTAAAACCAAAAGCATTCATTTTCCACAGTTATCACTGTTTTCTTAAGTCAGTCAGTTAAATTTTATTGATTTTTATTTACAGTTTAAATCATTTTATGATGAACGCGTCAACTATCCGATAATATTGGTATCATCGGTTTCCATTTTGATATGAATGGATATCATCACTTACGGGTTCTTACTGAAACATCGAAAATTGTGCATGTAGCTAATACGTATTGAGCATATAATTTTTAGCGATTCTAAGAATCTTATTGAAAAATCATTTAAAACCAGTGATTACTAGATAATTATTTTGTTGCGATTCCAGACTTCCTAAATCCATAAGCTAATTACGCAACTGAAATTGGATTTCAAGATCTTTAAATATTAAATCCAGAAATTCACAAACAAGTTTTTAATCAACACTACTAAAGTGGAATATCTTTTTAACTGATATAATCCAAAGAAACATGTTATCTTTTAGTACATTTCCATGGAAGACCCTTTTGATGATTATATGGTAGCTTTTAAGGATTTTATAATCAGAGATGGATGGCTACTAACGGCAGAATCCAGGACTCACGTTTCGTTTTACTTGAGACTCGACAGATGAATTAACCTGCATTCGAGAGCCGGTGTTCAATCTGGAACTAGAACTCACTACCGTTCATTTTAAACGCCATCGCGTCATACACTTATTTATTGAGCACGGATAGCCACTAGCTTGTGCAATGAGGTGAAATCTAATTTATTTTTGGATTAAATGTTTAAATCTTTCCACTGACGTTTAGGACTGCAGTTGGCCATCTAGACTTAGTAGCTAAGTGGATAATGCAATCGCACTTAAAATAAACGGTACCGAGTTCGATCCCCGGAGTAAACACCAACTCAGGGGTGCAGGTAAATGCAGCTGACGAGTCCAAAATAGGGTGAAACGAGCATTCTGCATTCCACTGCTAACCACCAACCATCCCTGTTTATAATACTTGTGACCCAAGGTAATATCAAGGTGACACTCACATGATGTACAAATGTCAATAGATGACTGATCAATCACAGTCTGAAACGTCATTGGGAAGATCTAAACAACCAATTAAAAAATGAGTTTTTATTGACTTTGTTCGTTAACAGTAGTTTACTTTCTCCAATTGGTCTAAGTTTATTTTGTTTCAATTCTTCGATTAGTATTTTGAAATGATTTATGTACTTTGTAAATCTTTAAAAATCATGCAATATTATTCTCTTGTTACCTGTAATCTTCATTATTATAACAAAATGAAATGTAGTTCCTGTTATAAGCATGCATTTCATTTCAAATGAATATTTCTATCTGATTTTGTTGTGTACAATAATTCTAAGTAGAAGAACTCTTGAAAGATGAAGAATTGAACTGTAGTTCATAGCACTTGAATGTTACTTCAAGTATTTCCAGACAGTCGGAAGGTGAACAGCAATAGAGATCAGAAAGCGCTTTTCATACTATTTGGTACTCGTCTGATCAATGTACCTGCATCTCAGAGTTAGTGTTCACTCCGAGTGTCAAACACGAAAAAATGTGGGTCCTGGTTTCCACTGCTAGCCATGTCCAATCTTTTTTATCGGAACTTGTATTACAGTGGCTATATCGAGGCAGTCCTCATAGGATGCTTATATGCCACGCGGGAATGAACAAATTTCAGTTAACATTTCAGCAACAGGGCAATCTAATCCATTTAAATTTGAATGAAAAAGACATTTTGTAGCAGATTTCAGGACACTTCTGTGTATTTTGTAGATTAGTCAAAAAACTGTAAGAACACTTGTCCTATTTGTTTCTAATTATTAACAAGATTTACTGGGTTTTTGTCAACCTTTCTTACAATAGAATTTATTCACAAAATTATTAATAATGTTAGTGGGGGATTCAGAATACATACACTCATTTCACTAAACTTTGTACTGATTTATAATATAGCACTTTAGAAAATACAGTTGTTAGACGAATCGTAATAAATTAAAAACATTAAATGAATTTTTCATTTGGATTGATTATAAACATCAAAGGACAATTGTTGTTTGATACTAATCTAAGGATTGAGACGTCTTGTTTAAGCAATTTCAGTGTATGCTACTTATGCGGACAATTATAAGAAGTATATATCAAGAATCGGAAGTGGAGTCCTTATCGACAGAAAGCTGAAATAAGGAGAAGAAGAAAGAAAATAGATCAATCAGAACAACTACAGAATTGGAGGAACGATGGAGATGTGCAGATGAAGATATGCAAATTATTTATTTAATGTATGATTTTAATATTTTATAAAGTCACTGCGTGACTTTTACCGAAACATGAAATCGGTTTTACCTAACTACTCTTTGCTCTCAACATAACCACCGTTCTCACGAGTAATCGATTGTAGTCCTTAAAGTCACAGACGAAAATATACAGACGTGTACAGTTCAATTCACACCTCCCCACACATATTAGTATCTAGTTAAACTCAGAACTTAGTAAACAACGGGTTTATTGTTTGAAACCATATATACTAGGTCGGAGTCCAGAGGAGAGCCTTGAAGTTGAAATGTGTTAGCCACACCTAAATGACGAGTCCCAAGTAGGATAAAGCATTCATCTTTGATTTCACTGCCATCCTCTATCGAATGTAACTAATAACATGCGACGAGATGTTAATATTACGACAATTTGTTCAATATAGACTGATTATTTGTAGTTATTAACACTGGCGACGGGAAAATACAAACCATTTTAAATAATAAAGAAACGCTATTACCAATAAATTTTTAAGTTTATTATTTTCATTCATTTCCAGAAATAGTTCTCGATTTAATCTTGACGTGATTTTTGAATAGATAAAAGAATGTTACCCGCCTTGCAACAAACAACCTCTAAACTTAACTGACAATATATACAATCAAGTTCAAGTTTAAAACAAATATGAAGGAAATTTTATATTTTTACTTAATTTTTCAAATGATGTTGTAAACTACGTATGCTTTCTGCACACATTACAAATATCTCTATACAAGGAATTATCAGAGTGTACACTTCTATCTATTTTAAAACTTCTTGGTGAAATGTTCATGTTTTACTGGATTTCATTCTTTATCTTTTATTTACTTATTGAAATTTCTATTTTATTGATTTCTTTCGAAAAATTTCGCTACTCTGTTTAAAAACAAAATTAATTTTATTTATCTTGGCTTATCCATGTATCGTTGTTAAACATTAGTGAAAAAGGTATGTGTTACATTGCATTTAATAATGTTATGTTTACAATTAACATATTTTGACAATGAAACATACTTGGAAGAATTTTGTCGTGATAATGTGAGTGTTGAAGTGTCATCTTTTTTCCATAATTTAAATCAAACAGTAATTATTTATGAAAATTTGATCAATTGAATGTTGTTTAGTTCAAAATTCTGTAATACTTCCAACTAAATATCAAATATGTTGGTGATAATTCAAACATTTTCATTTGTTTCAATAAAAAAAAGGATGAGAATATTCTTAGAATAAAATGATTTCAATGGACGTTGTTACTTTTGATCCATCTACAGTGTACAATTTGATAAGTTTAGTTGATTCAAGCAACTAAAAATTTTGAAATGTTTAAGAAAGTAGTAGTTACCAGGTTAATATAAAATTATTTATAAAAGGTATTTGCAGTGAGGCTCTTGTTTGAATGTTTTAGACGGATTTTTTTAGATAGTTGAAATATTAGTTGTAGAATTATATCACATAATATTAACAAAGATTCATAAGGAATACACAAAGATAAAAAAGGAATCATCAATAGTCATAAATAAATCATTGAATAACAGAAGTGTAATATGTAAGCTTATATTTACTGTTGTTCGTTGTAGGACTTTTCAGTCTGTTGTGTATAGAAATCTTGTATCTAGTTCAATTAATTTAGATTTATGTGAAACTTTACCCACTTTTCAATTCATTTTAAACTAGACTTGATTGGTAATTTCCATCAATCACTGTGAACAATCAAATATACAATTCATTTCAACCTTAAATACCATCCTTGTTATTTTCTTCTGAACAAAACATTGATGGTTGCTGTGAAACTCACTATCTATAGTGTATATTCAATGTTAGTTTATGAAGAAACCTATCATTAAATGGATTTATTCAGATTTATTTTATATTGGTGTTAGGTTTTCTCATATGTTTCAAATGAAATTAACAAAACGTTCTAGAAAAATCATTTTCTGATTATGGAATATCGTATCATATGATCAAGAATATTTTCAAATGATTTCTTTCACTTTGTATAGACATATTCTTACTGTTCGATAGACGTTTATAAAACCTAGTGAAATATTTTATTTTTAATAGAAAAACACACATTGCCTAATAGACATACGAACTGTTATTGATTATGCGAAGACAAACAATTCCCTATAAATTATTATAATCTTACAAATTGATCAATAAAATAGATGTAAAAACGTCGTCAAGGGAAATTAGCCAATCAAAGTGTTGAAAATAAGTATGATACTACGTATGAATTCGTGATGAAATAATCTGTTTACCGAATTGAAAACATGAAATTCTTTTGAACTTACTTACTTACTTACTTTCGCCTGTTACTCCTCGTGAAGGAGCATAGGCCGCTTACCAGCATTCTCCATCTAACCCTGTCCTGGGCAATCCTTTCCAGCTCTTCCCAGTACTTATTCATCCCTTTCATATCCGCTTCTATTTCCCGACGTAATGTTTTCTTTGGCCTTCCTCTTTTCCTCTTCTTTTCAGGATTCCAAGTTAGCGCTTGTCTCGTAATGCAGTTTGATGATTTTCTCAATATGTGTTCTATCCATTTCCATCGTCTTTTCCCGATTTCCTCTTCCGCTGGAAGCTGGTTGGTTCTCTCTCTCACAAAAAGGCTGTTGCTGATGGTGTCTGGCCAATGGATGTTGAGTATCTTGAGTAGACAGCTATTGATAAATACTTGTACCTTCTTAATGGTGGTTGTTGTAGTTCTCCACGTTTCAGCTCTGTACAGTAGAACTGCCTTGACATTCGTATTGAAGATTCTGACTTTGATGTTGGTTGAAAGTTGTTTTGAGTTCCATATGTTCTTTAATTGAAGGAATGCTGTCCTTGCTTTGCCGATCCTCGCCTTGACGTCTGCATCCGAACCTCCCTGTTTATCGACGATGCTTCCCAGGTATGTGAAGGATTCCACATCTTCCAGAGTTTCGCCACCAAGAGTGACTGGACTGCTGTTCTCCGTGTTGTATTTGAGCACTTTGGTTTTTCCATTGTGTATGTTGAGACCTACTGATGCATAGACTGCTACAACACTGGTTATCTTTATCTGCATTTGTTCGCGTGTATGAGATAGGAGGGCTAGTTCATCTGCGAAGTCCAAATCGTCTAATTGGTTCTGAGCTGTCCATTGTATGCCGTGTTTTCTCTCAGATGTCGAGGTCTTCATAATCCAGTCGACCACCAGAAGAAAGAGGAAGGGAGAGAGTAGACAGCCTTGTCTGACTCTGGTCCTTACTTGGAATGCATCTGTCAGCTGTCCTCTATGCACTACTTTGCACTATAGTCCGTCGTATGAGTTCCGGATAATATTGACAATCTTCTCAGGAACTCCGTAGTGTCGAAGACGTTTCCATAACGTCCTCCTATCTACACTGTTAAATGCCTTCTCATAATCAATGAAGTTGATGTACAGTGATGAGTTCCACTCAATTGATTGTTCGACGATGATCCGTGGTGTCGCATTTTGGTCTGTGCATGACCGGTCTTTACGGAATCCAGCTTGCTGATCTCGAATTTGAGCGTCTACTGTGTCTTTCATCCTGTTCAGTAACACTCTGTTAAAGACTTTTCCTGGTATTGACAGTAGTGTGATGCCTTTGTAATTTTCACACTTGCTCAGGTCTCCTTTCTTTAGAATCTTGATGAGGTGTCCTTCTTTCCAGTCCATCGGCACTTGTTCCCAAATCTTCTTGAATAGAAGATGAAGCATGTTCGTAGTTACTTCGATGTCTGACTTCAGTGCTGCAGCTGGTATATTGTCGGGTCCTGCTGCTTTCCCGCCCTTTATTTGTCTGGCGGCCATTCTGATTTCTTCCGTCGTTGGTGGATTGATATCTATAGGAAGATCTGTGTGTGCTGCTTCGATGTCTGGTGGATTCATCGGTGCCCGCCTATCCAGGAGTTCCTCGAAGTACTCTGCCCATCTATTTCGCTGTTGCTGAATCTCAGTGATCGGTCTTCCTTCTTTGTCTTTGACTGGTCTCTCTGGTTTCCTATATTTCTCTGTTAGCTTCCTCGTTGTATCGTAAAGCTGTCTCATATTTCCTTCTCTTGCAGCTTTCTCCTCCGTCGTTGCTAGTTCTTCCACGTATTTGTGCTTATCAGCTCTAATGCTCTTCTTCACTTGCTTGTTTGCTTCTATGTACTCAGCTTGTGCTTGGACTTTCTCTGCTCGTGTTCGACTGTCGTTAACTGCTGTCTTCTTGTTCTTTCTTTCTTTGATCCTGTCCAGTGTTTCTGTAGATATCCATTCCTTGTGATGATGCTTCTTGGGGCCCAGAACCTCTTGACATGTTGAAGTTAATGCTTCTTTTATACCTTTCCAGTTATCCTCCATAGTAGTTTCTTCTTCCTTCAGTAGATCCTGTAAGGCTTGGAACCTGTTGTTGAGAGCTATCTTAAATTCATTGAGTTTGTCAGTATCTCGAAGGAGGCCTGTATTGAACCTTTGCAGCGCTGTTTGTCCAGTTGTGCAGTTCTTCTTTAGCTTCAGTCTTAAATTGTCCACAACCAGGTGGTGATCTGAAGCTATATCTGATCCTCTCCTGGTTCTCACATCTTCCATTGTCCTTCGGAACTTTTTATTGATGCAAATATGATCTATCTGGTTCTCTGTGGTGTGGTCCAGTGAGATCCACGTAGCTTTGTGTATACGTTTGTGTGGAAATATTGTGCCGCCTATGACCAATTTATTGAATGCACACAGATTTACAAATCTTTCCCCGTTTTCGTTCCTCTCTCCCAGTTCATGTCGTCCCATGATATCTTCATATCCGGTGTTGTCTATTCCGACTTTGGAGTTTAGATCTCCCATCAGAATGGTGAGGTCCTTTCTTGGGCACTTCTCTATGATTGATTGCAGCCTCTCATAGAATTGATCTTTAACGTCGTCGTTCCTATCATTGGTAGGTGCATAACATTGGATAATGTTCATTGTGATCCCCTCCTTCTTTGTTTTGAATGATGCTTTGATGATTCTGGATCCGTGAGATTCCCATCCTACAAGTGCATTTTGTGCTACTTTGGACAGCATTAGAGCAACTGTCTGAGTGTGTGGAGCATTTTCCTCTTCGTGACCAGAGTATAGCAGCATCTCTCCCGTATTTAGCCTTTGTTGTCCAGCTTGGGTCCAATGGGTTTCGCTGATTCCGAGTACTGCCAAGTTGTATCTCCTCATTTCCGTTGCTATTTGACTGGTCTTCCCGTTCTCCCACATTGTCCGGACGTTCCATGTACCTATAAAAAGTGTTGCTTTGGTCGCTAGAAGGGGCATCGGCCTCATGGCTTCCGAAGGAACTCGGCTTTCACCATGAGACGTCATATTTCTTCTAAATGAAGACCTTCTAACTCCCAGGGCAGAGTTTAAATGGTTTGAGTTATTTTTTCTGGTTAGCGTTTTTTTTAGCGAGTTAGTTTTCTACTGGATGGAGACACTAACCCCATGCCCATCCCTCCTCTTTTATCCGGGCTTGGGACCGGCAGTAACTCCAGGGGAGCTACAGGCGGAGTTAAGTTCTTTTGAAAGAACAGTGATATTCATTGATGAAATTCTCAGATAGATTCTTCACCAAGTGGGGTGTAATTTGTAAAAATCAGGACATGCGTTGACAAGTGAAAAGTATGAGTATCTAAAAGAATGTTTATGCAATATGATAAGACACCAGTATAATGTATCATTTGAGTTCAAATTCTGTCAATCAGGTTTTAATTTACTTCGTGTAACACAGTAAAATGTCCCTGAATATAGGATTCTATGAAACCGGTATTTATTTGACGGTTTTGTTAAGATTTCAAATATTGCAAAATTTAAACACAAAATTTCTTGATGACTACTTCCCAGTATTCAGCAACAACTTTACTTGTTCGTATATGGTTAAATGATTGAACTTGATTTGAATATTTCTTGAAATTTTATTTACATAATAAACTTGATTCATACTACAAAATATTTACAATATTCTATATAAAGTTGTAGGGTCATGATGAAAAATCTAATTAATGTATAAGGTTGTCGTGATTATTGAGTTTTAATTGAGATCATGAGCTAATAATGATAGACCACCATTAATAACCTGGAAGCACTGGGCGACCATTTCGTCATAGTATGGGACTCAGCAGTGCTCATTTAGAATCTAACAATCTCTACAACTTCATACCAATAATTATCATGTGCTCACTAGTCACTGGCTTCAGGAGACAACCTACGGAGTTCTAGTGGGAAGTAGTAACCAGTAGAGTTCAGCCGTGTC